GCGTGCTAAAATGATCGCCCTACATTGTTGCTTCCTGTGCTCCCTCCTTGTGAGCCTACTGAGGGGATACAAACTGATGCATGCGCGGGGAAGTGTGCAGGTAACCAGCGGGACATCTCCGCATGGTCACTTCTTCACTCTTTTACTTCTTCCATTTTCCTTCGTTTCGCTTACCCCCTCTTTAGATGGCCCCCCAACGGGGTGCACCCAGTAATGTTGCACTCCACGCAGCACCCGATCAGAGGCGGAACTACTACCACTGTGGAGACGACCGCGTAGCACTTGTTACGGGTGCGGGGAGAGGAATTGGCAGGAGCATCGCCAAGACTCTGGCCGGCTCGGTGTCCACCGTGTTGTGCATCAGTCGGACGCAGGTTCGTAGGGAGCAAAATTCGCGACAGGGGGAGGCAATACGCCAAGTGGACAAAATGGATGGACTCCCCCCTTTGGACATCTTAACCTCCGAACAATTGTGCCATGTGCGATTTTTTCTTCCTACCCAATGATGACCCTTTTATTTTATTTATTTATTTTTTTTTTCTGTTTTTTTCCCTTCCCACTCAGAAATCCTGCGATAACATCGTGGACGAACTGAAATCGATGGGGTGTCAGTCCTCCGGGTACGCCGTGGACTTAGCAGACAAGGAACAAGTAACAGAATTGATTAACAAGCTCTTGGCAGAAAACAAAAGCATAGACATCCTTGTGAACAACGCAGGAGTTACCAGGGACAATATATCCCTTCGTATGAGCAGCGAAGAGTGGGAAGATGTCCTAAGAACAAATTTAAGTTCCCTGTTTTATGTAACGCAGCCAATTGCTAAACGGATGATGAGCAATCGTTACGGTCGCATCATTAACATGTCGAGTATAGTTGGTCTTACAGGAAACGCAGGACAAATTAACTACGCGTCTTCCAAGGCTGGGGTCATTGGGTTCACCAAGAGCTTATCCAAAGAACTGGCTTCCAGGAACGTAACAGTCAATGCGGTTGCCCCGGGTTTTATTGCTAGCGACATGACGGATAAACTGAACGACCAGATAAAGGTAACTCGGGGGAAGGGGAGTCAGATCAGTATGTGGCAGTGACGTCTTCTCCCCCCTTTTTCCGCGTCCCTGCTTCACACCATTTCCCGCTTCCTCACTTCCCCCTTCAGAAGGACATCATCTCGCACATCCCCGCTGGGCGGATGGGGACGCCGGAAGAGGTGAGTTCGCCTTGCGGAGGGTCATCCCGCTGAGGCGTTTTCGCCCCCCCACACATGCGCATATCCATGTGTATTATACATAATATGCATAAACGTGTATATTCCCACCAAATTCCGCCACGCCCCCTCTTTCTCCCTGTACAGGTGGCCAATTTGGTGGCTTTTCTCGCCTCCGAGATTGCCGCATACATTAACGGAAAGGTGTTCGTCATTGATGGCGGACTATCCACATGAACTTCCTCCCCTCGGCTTCTCCACAGAATGTGCCAATGCTAGAATCTCCCCTCCGGGAGGGGAAGGGGTCCTTAAGCACCCAAGTTGTTAAAACGCAGCGGTTCACATATCCATCGCCAAACGAGGGTTATGGCACCACGTTGTAAATTACAGCGACGTTGTGAATACAGCCCATTTGGTGAACACCGCCATTTGGAGTACCTTCCTTTCCTCTTCTTTTTTCTTTTTTTTACATTTAAGAGAAAACCGTATCGACAGGGTGAGGAGAAATTTGCAAGTGGCATTCCCCATCACAAGTGGATACGTGTGTGTCCCCCTTTCGCATCCACTTTTGCATTGGCAAACGAAACAAATGTGGATCCTTTGGCGGTCTTCTTTTAAACTTACTATCAGGGGAGGCAACCCAGTTGGAACATCCACAGGTGGGGGAGAAAAAAATTACGGCCCGTTTTTATGGGTACATTTGCTCAACATACTGAGCACAGACCTTCCCAAAGTGGGAAAAAGTGCCGCGTGTACAAGGTTATCACATGTAGTGGCTACGTTTTACGACGGGCAAAAAGGACGAACAGACAAAAAAAAAGTGCCGCTGTGAAAATAGTATACACAAGTCAACATATAATGATATGTACCCTTAATGGGACTGCTGGCAAAAGAGCCACTCACATCGGTGCACATCCTTCTTTGGAAGCAGAGTTAACATAGGAGGGGAATGTTGACCTGTGTCTCGGCATGTAAAATTGCTCATTTGACTGGGGATTATTCCCCCCCACGAATAGTGACGTTGCTCACTTTAGCTACAACTTACCGTGTCAGTAGTGCCCTCTCCTTTGTTGGGACGTTCGCGAGATGTGGAGCGAGTCCCCCACCACTCAGATGTCCTTGGCCACATGTCGTGTGCACATGTGGATGGAAAAAAAGAAAAAAAAAAAAAAAAAAAAGGGGGATTTTAAAAATAATGCCCTTGATCTACGCAGCCCCGTTTTTTTTCTCAGAGTAGCCTTGATCAATTAAGCACAGCTATAACTAGGAGTGAAATGTTTTGTTCACCAGAATCATACGTTTTGCAATTTTATCTATGTATCCGTAACTTCCTCATTTTTGTTTAGTTCCTCGCCAATTGGCTGCGATATACTTTGATCTGGTTTGCTCCCTCCGGAGATATGTGTGTCGTTAATTTTGCTTGTGCCACAGGGCAGGGCTTAGCCAGCGCTCTGTTGTATCAGTTGACCTCAGTTTGATCCAACGTTTCTGCTACTTCCGCTTGTTTTAGTACTTTCATTTACTCCACCTTTCCCGCTTCGCCTACTTTTCCCGCTTTTTCTACTTCTACTAGTTTTCCTATTTTTCCTAGTTCTACCGCCTTTCCTATTTCTACCGCTTCTTCTATTTCTCCTTCTTCGCTTCTTTCACCCCAAGTTTCTCCCCAGCCTGACCCAACTACCTCACCGAGTCATTTCGCGGAAAGATTGCCAACGCACCTGAATTGGTGGAAAAGGAACTCGAAGGAGGTGCCTTCGCTACTCTACTTCGATCCCTTCTTTGGTACCCCGTGCCGTGGCAGGGCACAAGAGTCAATGTGTGATCTGGCAACGAGTTGCCATTGTGCGAGCAGTCCATCTCTTCTGCGTGCACAGGTGGATTCATACTTGCCGCACCCCTGCCCCTTCTGCAAGAAATGATAAGCATACAAACATGCCAGAGCAGCAACCGAGTAGATCTCCTACTGCGGGGGAAATTCGTCAAGGGTAATAAAAGGGACTTTCTCCTGGCCGCAAAGGTAAGACCGGAGTCCCTCTCCCGAATGAGTTAGCGCTTAGGGGGAGGGTTACCCGGACTTGTCCATGCACGCGCATAAGAACGTTAGGATGTGTGCACCTGTTCGCGCATGTGCTTAAAGACCCAGCCGCAGATACCTCCAAATTCGCAACAACGCAGGACTCCTACCTGGAGCTTCTCACCGGGGACTTCAAAGAAACGATCTTCGTCCAAAACACCTTCCTGAAGATTATCCATCTGCAGGTAAGCTTCTCTATTTCGAGCCCCTGGCCCGAACTCCGCAGGGGATGACAAAGGCTCTGTTTTGCGAACCGACCAGACTATTTTCCTTCTTGTTTAAAAGCGCGTCGGTGAATGGGGGGGAGGGCACTTCATATTTACCTCCTCGGTGTATATCACGGGCGTCCATACACCTACTCCTACCACCTACACATGCACCGTCCGTGACGGTTCCCATCCCCGCCCAAACAGATACAGGAGGGGAAGGACCAAGACCACTTCCTCGTGGCAGATGAAAAATTGAACTTCCGAATTCTTAAATTTGACGGAAGCTTCGTGGAGACTTGCTTCCTTGGAAACTTCAGATCATCCAAACTGAAAAAATATGTGCAGTATTCAACCGTAAGAAGTGGAAAGAAAAAAGATGAGTTCTTCCACCAGTATTCCAGGCACATCCACGTCTGCAAATTGAAAGAAGCATTTATAGTGTCCATAGAAAACGTCGTCTTTTTTGTAATAATGAATGAATATAATTGGATCCACAAGAAGTTAAGTGACTACTGTCGCAATTACGACTTTAGAGTCAAATCCATTTCGAAGGAGAATAACGTTAATATCATTTACGACCCTATGCAGCTGAGGCATTATATCATTCACAGGAACAGAAGTGGAAGGAAAAGGATTAAGTACATTTCGTCTTCCTTTTCGCGGGACTGCAAGGCGCATGTCTACAGGATATGTATGAATTGTCCCGAGCCAGGGGTATACCGGGGGAGCAGCAAAGGAAGCAGCCTGCGAACTGGACATACACCAGGAGTTCCCCCCACTGACGAAGGGCAACGCAGGAAGCACCCCCTGGCAGGCAGAAACAAATTCTCCATTAAGGTGAAAAAAATACCCATTGAAAAATATCCAAAGGAAGAACCATCCTGCATTCGCTTTCGAAAAAACGTCTCCTTTGTAACGCTCTTGGAGTACACAACGGAGGGGTACTCAAATGTGCAGAGTGGCCCATCCTATACTGACCAACGTAGCGTCAGAAGTTTAAGTACCACTCGTTGTAACACCCTATTGGGAGAATGGGGTGCATTCGTGAGGAATGCGCCCAATGGGGGGTTATTTGGAAATCCGCGGAAACAGATCGAGGTGAGAAAATCAAGCCATGTTACTTCTCCCTCCCAAGGGAGCACGTCTTACGGAGGATACGAATCCAAAGAAGCAGGAGTGACTTCCCCTGTTCGAAGTGGAACAGCTTCTCCAACGCACCATACAGTTCATTTCCACGATCAAGAGCAACCATGCAGTAAACTTCGCATCAGGAGACAACACTCCACTGAGGAGAAGTCAAGAAAGAAGAACTACTACAATGAATTTTCCAACTGCACAAGCTTAAAAATATGTTTCATCGTGAACTTTATACGAAGCGGAAGTAGTCACACCGATTTTGTCAGACACGTCTTATTCCTTTGCGATAAGGAAGAGATCCAAATGATGAAGGTAATGAGGCATCTACGGAGGACAAACATATTTGAGACAAACGATTGGGACGTCCTTAACAAGTACGGGAAGGAACTCCCAGGTGATGAAGCTCTGATGAGTCATAATAACTATTTATTGGATCCATCTCCTAAATGGAAACAACTTTATGAACATAGAAGAAACTCAAAGGGTGGAGAAACCGGAAGGCACACTTTTGGGGCATGTCCACTGTGCCAGTATCATTTTGATAAAATAAATTTGCTCCAAGGGGATCCCATATTTGAGCAGATTTTCGAGAGAAACTTTTTTTGTAGGAACCACGGGGTGTGCGATGGAAAGGAGGGCACCCGTGATAGTAGCGATTCGATTAATCCAGATGATGCGAGGCGAGTGACGACACTGCTGCTTGGCCTCTCCATCAGATTGAAACTCCTCCTTCTCTACTTTTCCCATTTCTTCTACTCCAGCAGCAGAACGTTGCGTAACTCTTCCTGCGCCATCCTGTTGAGGAGACAAAACGGGAGGCGTTCAATTATTCGCGAGCTAGCCATGCACATTTACCTTTTGAATCTTTTTGTCGCTCATATTTTTCAATATGTCGGTGGCGATTCGGGGGGGGACTCTTCAGCCGATCCCACAGTGGGTAGATTAGCAGCGGGGAAAATGGAAATAGAGAGATTAGTAGAGAGAAAATTGACCACAGCAAAATTGATGAATGCCCATGCCCAGCGCGATAAGTATGATGTAACACATCTGGAGGAAAAACCCAACGGAGGATGCGAGAATGGCCCAAGTGGGTGCACACCGAACGGAGATAGACTACCAAATGAGATGTTCCTCTCGATGTGTCAAAAATTGAATCTGCTCATTGGGGAATACATGACTGATTCTACACAAGGTAGCAGAGCAGGAATGGAAGAATCTTTAGGAACATTCTGTAGCGACAGGTTGGAGACAACAGAAGGAGAAATCACAGATGCAATTTCTACACACCATTGCCAAGTTGTGCAGAGGCTCATCATCGACATACAGAACCTGCGACTTATATCTCTCACCTGTTTGAAGGAATTCAATTTTAATTATGAGAAGGTGAGGGATAAATTATTGCGCAGGAAGGAGAAGCTAGACAGGAGGAGCAGCGGCAGGATGAAGAAGAGGAAGAAGAACGACGGACATCACCCCCATAGGGGGCGCACCCATCAACACCGAATCGATCACAAAAGACACATCATACTAATCACTACGAATCACAACGGACAAGCGAACATTATCTTTTTTAAAAATAGAACAAAGAAAAAAAACACCACTGTTAATAATATTATAATACCCATTGGCAAATTATATCTCCCGATTGAAGTCCAAAAAGTGGAGAGCGTAATGAACAGATCCTCCTTCGTTTTATTTGCCAAGAGGGGGATTGTTTTTTTTTTTCATTTTTCCACAGCCTATGGCGCGAATCTTACCCTGGTGAATTATCACTTCGCTCTGCACAGTGACGTCTTCTTTGTAGAAAAGTTGAGATTCTTCAGAATTGTTAAAAGGGATGGCACATACGAGGAAATTGAGCATCACATTTTATGTTCAGATTATTTTGTTAAATGTGTCAGCCTGAAGAGTATGCGGAACTTCCCCCAGTGTCTGTGGCCAAGCGTCCGCGTTGGGGGGTGGCACGCGGGCAAGCACATGGGAAGGGAACGAAGGAGAGATGGAAAGAAAGAGGCAGAGAGAGATCGAGACAGACACTTAGGAAGGAGCCCCCTTTTGCAACCGCGCACCAAATGGAGTGAACAAACAGAAGAGTCGCTCCTCCCAAGGGGGAACAACTACATAAACAGCGCAACGGAATTTCACGCACTGCGGCGTGTTCCCTTTATTGACAGCTTTTACACGTACGCCTTTGTGTACCACTATGACTTTAAGTTTTTCCAAGAGGTGTGTGTCAGCGGGTGGGGCTCTACCTCTGCCGGCAGCAATAATTGCATTTGCGCAGATATGGACATCGGGATTACCACAGTTGGGGGGGGGTCCACCGTGGGAAGAAGCTCTATGTATGGCAGGAGTGGCAGTGTTTCTGGGCCACTGCCGCGGGGGAAGACACAGCCACAAGTGCAACTGCAACCACCAAGAGATGTAAGCTCGTCGATTGGGCACCCCACCCCGGTCTCGCTTCAAATCAGCAAAAGCGCCTTCAACGAGATATACAAAAGAAGGAAGTACGCCTTTTTCACCGATCCCCAGGGGGATGATCCAAATGAGGGAGGAACAACCCGTAGGGGAGAAGCAACAAATAGCGGAGCAGAAACAAGTAGCGGAGCAGCAACAAGTAGCGGAGGAACAACCCAACAGAGGAGGGGCGTCCCCCCCAAAAAGAGGCCCAAAAAGAGTACCAAACGGAGAAGAAAATCCCGCTGCTACCTTAACAACGAAAACGATGCAGACAGTATGGGGAAGGCAACATGGGAGGAAGAAACTCCTTCCTCCCGAGAGGACAAAAATCCATTTGGAAGTGCTTCCCCAGGGGAGGACGATGCGTTATCGAATGAGCTCATTGTATCGTTAGGGAGAAACTATCCTAGGAAGACCCATCCTGTGGGGAACCCCTTTGTTAAAAGATACCTCTCTGTTGATCTCCGAGGGAAGAAGATGTGTGTCATTATTCTCTTATTCGACATGGTAGCATCTCAGATGTTCATAGAAAGGACCAATTTAGGGAGTGCCAGCCCTTCTACGGAACGGCAACAGAGCAACTACTTTAGGAACTTAATTGCATCATCAAAGGGGATGTATTGTATAAGCTGCATGCACAGCACGCCTGCGTCGGTGTCCAAACCGAGTGCCACAGTGGAAGAAAGCACAAGCTTTGTCCTCTCCCTAAGTGAGGAACAGTCGGACCAACTCTTCATGATAAAGTCATGCATCTATAAGGCTTCATCAGGGAAGCAGGTTAAGTACATTTTTAACAATGTAAAAAAGGCATACTACACTTATGAGAGGGCCAAAACGGTGAAGGATTACAAATATAAAGAGAAGGCGGTCGTTACTGACTTGCGCAGCATGGAGAGCCCATCCAGCATCACGGATGAACTGAAGAAGATTGCCAATCTGTACAAAGGAACGGCGCAGGTGAGGGGAAACAACCCAAAGTTGCTGAGATATATGGAGGAGGAAGATCACATATTGAGTGTCAAGAGGTTGAAAAAGAAGATGTCAGATGAGTTAATTATCTTGGACAAGAATAGAGACCTGCACAAGGTGACCCTGGGGCACAAGGTGCTCCTGGAGAGGCGGACAAATGAGGCCACTGCCCCACCGGAGAATCATTCCATCGGCCCCCCGACAAATCACACCATCTCGCACACCTTCATGATACGTTTCAACGACCAATTGAGCATTCTCTGCATGACAAGATATTGGAAGACCTCCTATTTGTACGTCCGAAGCAAGGAAGACCTCTTTGGAGACTTCCAAAATGCGCTCTCTCTTCTGAGAGGGGAAAAAAAAGCGTCTATGATAGGACAAAACATCTTCACCATCTCAGGGGGAGTCCCCGCGAATGGGTCTCTGCGGGGGAAAAACTCCCCTACCAAAAGGTGGAACCAACAAAAGGACATCAAGAAAAAACGAACATTTGAAATGATCCAAGAGGAACAATTAGAATCACTAAACCTTACGAAAGAAAAACTTATATATGCAAAATGTGTAGGTCAGAATGGAAGAAGCAATTTTTACGTCCTCCAGATAAGTACGAATAGCATCATTATAAATCACTATTATGTCGACCCTCTTAGGGGTACCCGTCTACAATTGGTAGATACATCCTCGTGGGGCCTGACTTCCGCCCCAGTCATCCACTACCATTTCGATAAGGGCATCTTGGCCTTATCCTACGTAACTGGCACTGTCGAGTTGTTTTACATAGACGGGGTGAAGAGTCTCTGCTTGTTAATCGATAGAGTGACCTTCGAAGAAAGAATACACTCCATTTGTATCATCCCGAAGGAGCACAAAAAAGGGGTCCCCTCAAACGACCCTGCAAAGAAGTATAAGTACATCTTACTCTGCATAGGATTGCAGAGACGATGCAGAGTTCTGACGTACTACGTCGATGAGGGCTGTATGCGTAACTCTACTGAAGCATCACCTCGGCTGTTAAGCTGGATGGACGGTCTTCCCACCCACGAGAAAGAGAAGGAAAACAGAAATATAAACCTATGTGGACACTTTTTAAATGCAAGAAATGTCAAGATGGACCCCCCCCGGGGGAAAGACCTCCGACCGTTTCCTCAACAGCATACCTTCCAACGCATAAACAAATCGCTTAACCCTCCGGAGAAAAACACACACTTCGTGGCAGACGTGTATGAGTACAGCATAGATACCCTAAACGATCATTGTACCATCACAGGGATGATAAAACTGAATAATTTTCTCCTCATAGGGACAAATGAAGGCGTTGTCAAAGTGTATGACATTTTCCAGTCAAGCAACGCCCCAAGGAGTGATCTCTTTCTGTGTCACTTCCGGGTTTATAAAAATCAGAAGAGAGTAATCAAAATGTTTGATGAGTTTCTACTTGGGAATAATTCCGTTTATTTTTTGAATCCATTGAAGGGGTACGACGGCGGGGGGGCCAAGTCGCCACGCCTTGTCTACCAGAAGAGATTCCGAGCCGTGGCCTTCTGCGGAAGCGGCATGTTCATGTTCGTGTCGAATAGGGTTATTCGGGGGGGAACGACAACAGCGAGGAAATTGACCGAAGGGGAGAAGAAGTGGGAGAACGTCTCGGGTAGCGGTCAACGCGGCTCCCTACGCAGAGGACGCCACGACTATTTGGACGAAATGAAAGCCAGGGTAAACGGCTACCTTGGCAACCTGCTTAACCTGGAAAAATACAGACTGTGCGATCTTCTGCGGGACAGACGCATAGGCGAAGGAGGCATGCCGAGCAGGAACATTTTTATTCTCCCCCTGCGTATTTTCAAAAATGGAACTAATCCCCCATCGGGGGGCGTAAACCGATCGGATGCAACAAACCAATCGAGCCATTTGATGGAAGCGCACCAAACGGACAGCCCACCCAGTGACGCTAGAAATAGCCGTTCAGATGAACCCTCCTCAGACAGACGTAAAGAAGCCATCCCCTCTCGCCTCATGAGCGGGCAAAATCGCGAAACGGGCGCCAAGAAGACAGATCACTTCGACTACGCACCAATCAACCAAAGGTTAATAAAGCTCAAATATGAAATCAGTGCAAATAATATTGTCTTAATTAAAAACAAAGACAGCACGTTCCCCTACCTTATAATCATCCACCTAAACCATAGACTGTACACTGGACTGATTCAAAGGGATCAGATCCTTGTCGAGAAGAGGAAGAACCGTAAAGAGGGAGGCACAATCGATAAGTTTGTAAAGTCTGACAGATGCTGTCCCCCCTGTGATTACTATACGAAGAATTTTGTTCTCTACTCAGAGGTTAGTAGGAGGAGGAGGCAGAAGGGTCTCACTGCGGTGGGGGGAGGAAGCAACCTCCGTGGGGAGCTCAGAAAACGCCACTGCTATGGTGATGCAAAGAAACAGGATCGCCTCTCCGCCAGATGTGCGAAGTGGGAGAAGTCTGCGAAGTGCGCCAAAACAGATAAGCCAAACGAAAGTAATGGGTTCCCCCCGCAGAATAGAGACAAAGAAAGAGGAATAGGCACCCACTGTGGAGGCAACAACCTTTGCCTGAAAATGGACAAGAAGATTATTGACACCTTTAGAAGTAGCATGCTGTCCGATGTGTTCCTGATCAGCCTACATCGGAAATACATCCTTACTGAGTTGTTCCTAATTTGCTCGAGCACGGAGAAGGGGGAAATTATTGACGCCATCGAGGGGGGCGGAGATACGAAACAGGAAGGGGGGTACAGCTCAGGGGAGAACTCTGCACAACCATTTTCGGGGAAGAACTCTGGACAACCTTTTTCGGGGCAAAACTCAGAGTATCACTCTTCGGGCCATCTGGAACGGCCCCCCCTTGGGTTACCCCCTCGATGCTTCCCCGTGAAGCTTCTCACGAACGGCATTGACTTCGAGGGAAATACAAATGAGAGTGCCAACTCCCTTCGCATATACACCCAATTATACCTAAGGGATTACAATCTCTTTGCTTCGAACAAAGACGTCTTGTCTTTGCTGCGAAACCAGTGCGTTAACTTTGTGAACAGATTCTACGCCTTCCTATTTTACAACACCGTTAGCAGGACGCATCAGCTGAAGCCGTTTTTTCAAGACAGGTGGATAGCGAAGAATATATCCATTACCCTGTCAGGGAGTAGCCATCTTACTCTTGGTGACCAAACCGTTAAGAGTGCCCCTCGAGGTAGGGACAATTACCATCTTAAGGACGAAGAGAAGAAGAGGGAACTGCTGCATAACTGCGTCAACCGTATCTGCAACATATTGATGGCACTGATTGGAAAGAAAACACACGCGGTGATTAGCAAAAGTTTGTTCCTGCACCGGAGTCATAAGAAATGCAGGGGGGAAGAAGCGAAGCGTAGCTACTACGAAGGTGAAACGGGGGACACCCACGAGGGAGATTCGCGAGACATCCACACAGGCGACGCGAAATTCAACGGAACGAAGAAAAAAAAGGGCAGCGGGGAACACTACAAATGCACAAAGAAACAGCGAAAAGTTGGAAATAACGAGACTGTCCAAATGGACCGGAAGGGCGGCCCAGTTGATCCCTCCAAGTGTATAGACGACGGTGATGCAAGTGGCAGCCCTTTAGCAGATTCACCCCTAAAACAGATGGACGTAACCCCAGACCCAGCCACGAACCTACCGGAGGAATTGAACCCAGAGGAGGGTAGCAACGGGAGATGTTCTCAAAACCGAAATGTGGTGACAAAAGTGTTGTTTGAAAGCTTCTTCAACGAGGTAGAAAACATATACAAGCTGCGGCTGCTGGGGGGAGTGCCCTCCAGGGGAAGCGAGGCAGACAATGTAGGCGCGAGCACATCAGCGAACGAAGACCATTGCCACCTCACCTTCCTCGCCGTGCACCTCAAAGGGAGCAAGTATCACTTCAGCTCCGTGACCGAGTATTACAAAATAGTGGGAAAGAAGAGCGCGAAGGGGAGGAGGGGCCCTCTCGAAACGGACGCCCCAGAGGAGGAAAACTCGAGAGAAAGGGACCACCGACCAGTTGGAGAAGCAGGCGTAGCAGATGAATCAATCCGAGGAGGCGTACCAATCCGAGTGGACGAATCAATCGGAGCAGGCGTACCAATCGGAGTAGGCGAATCAGGTGGGGGCGCTTCCCCCCGGAGCGGCACCCATAGATGTAGGAACAAGACGCACAAAAAGGAGCACACACAAGTGAGGAGAAGAGGCATTCACAAAAGGACCCACCATAACCGACGCACAGGACAAAGAAAAGGGAAGCTCCCCGTGTTAGCATCTAGGCGAACTGCCTCATATCTCTTGAGGGAGAACAGAGTGTGGTTTGTGCTGTACCGCGGATGGCTCAGGATGGCATCTAACAGCGTGAAACGGTTTTCCCAAAGGGTGAAAACGAGAAAAAAGAAAAACGAGACAAAGGAAAGTCTCAAAGAGGAAGAGAAGGACAGCTACGACTGCCTCTTCGTATTCCCCAAATACTTACGGGACCAGTACAAGGAAATCCTCCTGTGCAGATTAAAAGACAAAGTCAACAGGATGTTCAATTTTAACGAAGGAGACCTATTTCTTGTCCTGAAAATCCACTTGAATTATGTCTTCCTCGTGAATTACCGCAGGAGGATTTCCTTCTGGGTCAACATAAAACGTGTGTATAGAAATTTGCTCGTTATCCGGCTTGAGCAAAGGCCCGATAAAGAAGGGGAAACGAAGGAAGCCGCATCCAACGACCGGACTTCCAACGACGCGATCTTCCACGAGGGGGCACCCCCATACGTGCGCAAAGATAAAACCGTACTGGTGTTCAAAAAGACGAAGCGAGAAGACATCCTCCCCTTCTTCATTAAAAACACGACAACTACCCCCATCACCTACATGAGCAGGGGCATGAGAAATATAAAGCCCTTCCAGAGCAAGTACATAATCTTCACGCAGAAAAATCACATTGTCCTACTGAAGATCGTTTTTTCGAAAAGGAGTAGAGAAATTTCAGGGAGCAAGAACGGACTAATGGAGACAATCCTGCAGAATTGTATTTACGACAGGCAGATGCTTCTGTACCGAACGCAAGATGGTCGAATAGTGAATTTTTCCGACGTCTTTAATGAGCTGCTCGGCAAGCAGTACGTAATAAAGAACCGGTCTAGGGGGAAGAGGGGCCTAAGCGAAGTAGAGTACATAGAAATGTTAGCCAATAGGAGGGGCAGAGTGGAAGGGGCTGCCACCACTACGACCAACACCACGATGAACACGATGAACTCCCGGGGGAACAATCCCGAGCGAAGTGCGAACCCTGATGGAAGCGCGCAAAGTACACCGTCCGCAGCGAATGCAAGGCACGGAGAATACCTAAACGGGAAACAGTACCACATGATGAAGCAAAAGGATGAGCAGTACATAGACCTATTTAAAAGTTATACTTTCGAGGAACACTTTACCGAAGCGGAGAAGGAATTCCTCTACCACCTAAACTACCAAATCGTGGAGCATCACAGGAATGAAGAAAATTTTGAAAACATAAACGACATGGAGGTGTATGAAGATAAAATTCTCATCGTCACAAGAAGTTATGTTCGCTTGTACCAATACGACGAAGAGAAAAATGTTCTGACCCTGCAATGCTCCAATACGTTTTACAATATTAACAGCATGATAGTGAACGAAAAGTACAGAAAGGCATTACTCCTGCGAGGCATCTTCCAAAGTGTAAACATCGCTTCGAAGAGGTTCCTCTCTGTTTACTACATACTGGGGAAGTGTATGTACTATATTGGGCATATAAAAATACGAAACAGAATAAAACACATTTTTGAAAATAAATTGCTACACAATGTCATGGGTGTTAACATGAATGTCAATCGAAGCGAACACATGATAGACAGCATACGAACGTATCAGAGATTTTTTTTTAATTTTTTCCTTATCGACTCTAGAGGTAATTTTCTGTCCATATATAGCTCTCCTTTCGCGGAAGAAAACCAGACGCAAAATTACTTTTACGATCATAATCGGCCCCTGCAGATATGTCATGACCTCATGTTATTTTTGCAAATACTTATCAATGGGAAGAATGGCTCGCCATCTCCCCATCCAAGGGGTGATCCATTTATGAACAAGACAAAATCACTCCACTCGAAAAAAAGGATGAAAAAACTACAGAGGAACTATTTTTACAATAACTATTTTATCAAATCCAAGTACAGAACGCTGTTAACAATTTTCATCAGCCGATTTTTTATTTACATGAATAAAAAAATTCTCTTTTTGGAAAACGCCTTTTCACAAAGGTGCACAGATGACTTCCTATTTGAATTAAAGCTACGTGTTTACAACAGAATTTTAAAACTCAGTTCGTACGATTTTTCTGATAGGAAAAGTGCCTTCCAGTTGCTAAACGATATGTATGATATGCGGGCCAATAAGAATGTCCCCTACTTTTCTCTGCAAACGCGTCTTCAGGATTATGCAGACATTATCCGCAGTGACCTTTACCACATGAAGGTGTTCCGCTCGGACGCCCCCCGTGCTAATCAGCCTGTAGAAGGTTATCTCAGACCCGCCGCTATAAACCACGCGAAGGAACCTTCGCTCGAAAGAAGCATTACCAGAAAAATTGAAGAAATGAATAAATACCGATTCGATCCCATAAGAGCCTACAACGGGGTGGTAAAAAACAACATCAGAGACAACTGCTACTACGATGTCGACTTTTATCACTTCCTCGATTGCATCCACAATATGGACCAAGGCACCTTCTCCAAAAAGACCAAACCTGCAGAGTATAAAAAATATTTGAAAAACAGCTTTGCAGACAATTCGCTCTTTCAAATTTATTTCAACTTTCTCACCTACATGTCTAATAACCCCAAAATGTTTCATCACATGAAGAAATATTTGCATTTCCATCCCTACTCCACCAAGTTATTAAAAAACAGGACGTATTATTTCAACATGGATTTGCTCAACGTCATCTTCAGCTTTGACAATGATGCTTTGGCTGAACTTAGAAGTGTCATCACCTTATTCCCCACTTGTCCCTCCCTCGACGAGGTCTTCACGGCAGTCTCTCTCATGCACATGCCCCTTGGCGGGGCATAACGAGGGAGGGGTGCTCCTATGGCAGTGCGTGTGCGCACATGAAGGGGTCCAAACCCCCCTACACACACAACTGTGTCAACAGTTTTTTTTTTTTTTTTTTTTTTTTTTTTTTTTTGTTTAAAACAGATGGCCCTATGCACAGCTATATGCCTGCGAATTGGGCTTCATCCTGGGGCGGGATACAGGGTGAGAAGTGCACCGCGTGATGATTTCCCTCCCGTAGTTTATATGTCCCCCACCTTCCCGCGGCCACGCTGCTAAGAGTGGAAAGTGTTCTCATACATATCATCAGTGAAAAATGCACCTGCCTTATTAAAAGAAATTTATTCCTTCCCTTTTTAAAAAACCAAAGATGGGAAGGTTTCTTAACGAAGACAACCCTATTTTTTTCTCCCCCACCATCCCCTTTGTACCTCTAAACGTTGTCCTGCTGTCACATGTTGATGTACATTCAACGGAGAAAAACCGGCTATGTTTCCAAATGCATACCACCCCGTGGTCACCAAATGGTCACATAACAGCGCAGACACAGATTAGAAGCAATGTCGCGATGTGAAAAAGGATAAAAAGAAGAAATTTAATTTACAACGCAAAGAGGGCGGGTGCACCTGGTTAAGTCAAAAAGAAAGAAGAAAAAAAAAAAAACGAACAAGGGGGAACAGACGGAAGATGCGTCACTTCACGACTAGTTTAACGAGCAAAGTGTAAGTTAGTGAATATCACCATTTTTTATTCACTTCTCCTTTCTCATTATCGTAAAAAAAATAAATAACTCCCGTGTAGTATATATATCCCATGTAAATGGGCCAACTTTTCTTTACCATTGAAAGGAAAAAAAGGAAAAAAAAAAAATCAACTTCGGCTTCATTTTATCCAAAAGTGAAAGCGGAAATGTCTAAATTTTTTAACCGCCTTCACGAAATAATCCTCAAGAGAGTATAAAGTTCCTACAGTTCACAACTTTCTGTTTTTTTTTTTTTTGTTTTCTCAAAGTATATGAAGAGAAAATCCGATCGGTACCTCCCGAAGGAGGAAGGAAAATGCCCCTTTTTAAGCAAACACGATTGAGTGGCCATTTTTTTTCTTTTTTTTATCATTTTAAACAAAACTATGAGTTAAAAGTAAACACAAAAGGGAAGAGGGAAAATCAGCATGGACTCACTTGACAGTTTTATAAAGAAGAAAAAGGAAGAAATAAAAGGTTCGCAAGAGAAACGCAACGGCCTAGTGTAGGATCGGCCCAATGTAGAAACGGCCGAATGTAGGAACGGCCTAGTGCATCAACCCCAAAGGCATACACACACGGGGAAAGCCTACTTACGTGCATAAGATCACTGTGTAGGAGAGTTGCCATACCGACATTCGCATATGTGCGTATACGAATGTGTCCAAAAGGAGCTGATAGGGTGGCCCCACTTCATTTTTTCTTTTTCCCCCTCCCTTACGACAGAAATCAAAGGAAACAAGAGGTGGTTCAAGCAGGCAGAGTTGGAGAGTAAGAAAAAAACAGAAATTAACAAGTTTTACGAAAATGAATATAAAAAGAAGAAGACGGAGGAATATGAAAGGCTAAAGGTAAAGAAATGAAAAGGCTTTACAACTGAGAAAAGAAGTGGTGACGCTAGGGGGGTGATTCCCCTTAGTTGGTGTCCGCGTCGGCCCATTAAACCATATCGTATCCATACAATGTAGCATAAATGTCTGTTCCTTTTTTTTTTTTTTCCATCCCTGCAAGAAATTGAATGACCAACTGGACGCGAAACGCAGAAAACACAGCATAGACGTGAAGCATGAAGAAACAAATACAGGTTAAAAAAAAAAAAATTATTTAATCACAAAATGACCCATCTGCGTGCAAATTACAACACTGATCAATGTTTTGTGTTTTTCCCCGGTGGTCTACACAGAAGTGCTTCAAAGATTCAGCTTCGCATATCCCCCCACAACACATTTTTCTCATATTCAGCATCGCTACTTTTTTTTTTTTTTTCACAGAAATAACTTTAACGAACAGGCAGATAATCATTCTGCTTCGTCAGCTGAAGGAACCAATCAGGCTTTTTGGAGAAACTGACTTGGAAAGGTACCATAAAAGAGGGGGACCGAAAAAGGTGTATATATCATTACCCATAGTGACATGCGCTTAAACACATATATGTGTCAGCCGAAACAACCTACGTCCAATGGGCCATTTTTTACCGCCCCCTTGCAGATACAACAGACTGAAGGAGTTAAAAATAAACAAAAACGAGTTAAAAATTAATGTGCAAAATGTATTTGGCGATGTCCTAAGGGGGAAGTAAGACAGTTGCAAATGTTTCCAGTTCTATATGCCGATATGTGCGATATGTTTCCATGTCCGTATGGATAAATTCCCCCTCGAAAGGAGCTTCCCATGTACAGCAAAAGTCACCTGAACGGGTCATACATTTTTGCGTTTTTTTTTTTTTTTTTTCTTAGATTAAAAGAAAATTCGCTAGATTTAATTGAGGACAACCTGGAAGACGATATTGACAATGCCAACTCGAAGGAATCAGCAGAATTGAATGGACCGACAGCAGAAAAAAAAAGTGATGAAGAGGGCCAGGGAGTGGACAAGGAAAGGGTTATACTCGACTGGATAAAAAGCACAATGAAGGCGTGGAACGAAGAAATTGAAAACAGCGATGATGGCAAAAAGAAAATAAAGAAAGCTACATACTTGCAGACGCACAAGGATTTGAAACCACTGGAGAAGAAGCTGAAGCAGAAGAGGTAGGGCCACCGTGGGGAGAGGTCGCAGTGGCAGTAGACTATGCATACTGCAAAAGTGCACCTTTTTTTCCCGCGCAAAGATCTGTAGACATTTGCTCATATGAATGGAATTTACTCCTTTTCTTTTTTTTTTTTCTTCGCAGCTTGGAAGCAGACGTGCTGGAAAAAATATACAACATCGTTTCGCGTTGCCAGGAGAGGAACTTCAAAGCGGCGCACGATGCGTAAGGGAGAGTGTTAAAGGAGGCCAAGTAAAGCGGCCACTTTCTCAGCGACACGGTTCATTGTGTCTCCACAATGGGGCTAACCCTGCGTACGTGCATTCGTGTACAAATGAATACTTAATCATTCCAACATTGGAACATTCGAACATTCAAACGTGTGTGCTATTTCTCCCCCCAGGTATATGCTGCTCGCCATAGGGAACGCCGCCTGGCCCATGGGCGTTACGATGGTTGGGATTCACGAACGTGCAGGGCGATCCAAAATTTTCGCATCGGAGGTAAGAAAAAGGGGCATGTAAATGAGCAAAGGAGCGTCTGCTTCTGCTCTCATTTGTGTGCACCTTCCGATAGGGGCGTTTTCCTCGTGGCGACAATTCCCCACACACACACAGCAACTTTTTTAAGAGACGGCGGATTTTCATTGGCGTGCTTTCCCTACCCCCCTTCCCCAGGTTGCACACATCCTTAATGACGAGACGACGAGGAAATATATTCAAATGATTAAAAGGTAAAAGGCAGATGCGTTGTTTAATCCCTTTATCGTTGCGTTGTTCCGTCTTTGCGCATATGTGTGTGGTCGACTGCCAATTCGCTTTCTTCTACGCGTACCGCTGCGTCCTATCTGTCGCATGACTTATGCCCGCCAGCTCGCGCAGGCCAAAATAAAAGGTGATGTGAATTGTTACGTTTTGGTTCTTTCCGTATTTGTTATATTCCTCTTTTCGCCACTTCCCTCCTTTTTTTTCTTTTTTTTAAGGTTATTATCCTTTTGCCAACGGAAATATTGCACCAACCCCTCGGAGGCAGTCAATTTGTCCACCATCCACATTTAATTTAATGTTTTTCTTTTTTTTTCTTTTTTTTTACCTGACTGTTCAGAATTTTTTTCAGCTTTTCCGTTCCCCTTTGTTTTTCCATTTTTTCAAGTGACCATAGGGGTGCAGATAGAATGGGAATTTCACTTTCTATAAATTGCCTCCTTTCACGTTTACTTTTATGTCGACTTTTTTATACCGACTTTTACGCCGACTTTTTTATACCGACTTTTACGCCGACTTTTATGCCGACTTTTAGGCCTACTTTTAGGCCTACTTTTTTTTGTCTTAGGTAACAATGTGCTTAGCAGCAGCGGTAAAATTCATCATGAAAAAAAGTTTCAGAATTGTGGAGAGAAAAAATGGCGAAGGCGGTGATGGTGGGGAAATAATTCACAGTCAGAGATATACCAGAATGGTAGGCATAAGCCTATTCACACAGTCATATCATTCTTCGTTTTGAAAAAAAAAAAAAAAATACGCAGGCACGTTAATCAAAAGCAGCAGGTTAAACGTCCCCATAATGTCCATCATAAAACCATGAAGTCGAATTGGCGGGGTTCACTTTTGCCAGGCCGGTGTGTCCCTGCGCGTGTCCAGACGTACGTGTCACTTCCGCCTAGCAGTCGTAATATAAATAGTAATCGTACGGAGTGATCTTCTTTCTGTAGCCCGCTATCTCGTCCCTCTTGAACTTTATATACTCCTCAATGACTTCCTCCGTGAAGATTCCGTCTACCGTCAAAAAGGTGTGGTCCTTCTCCAGGGCATCCAAACTCGCCTCCAGAGAAAAGCATATGCTGTCGGGCTCCTTGCAGGTGAAGAAGTTAACAAATTCTGGGCTCTTCTTCATCTGATGAATGCTGTCATAGCCCTCCAGTGCATGTGTGAGAGTTTTAAAATTCTGTGTGTTATCAACGTAATTAGAAAAAATGCTGGAAATAAAAAAGTTGTTATCTTTACTCTCGAATGGCACCAGTGGTTGTTCCTTCGATTTGATACCATCATATCCTGCCAGGATGATGGCGGCCAGGACTAAGTGAGGCGAGTTGGCATAATCAGGCAGTCGGAACTCAATTCGCTTTTCATTTGGATTGTTGTAATTAATCATAGACAACCTAATAACAGCATTTCTGGAGCCAAAGGAGTAAAAGAGCTTCTGGCAAGTTTCAAATCCTGGGACTAACCTTTTATACGAATTCATCGTAGAATTGCAAAAGGCCTGTAACGCTCTGGCATGTTTAATAATTCCATTCATAAAATAGAAGGCCTCTTTGGAAAGGAAAAAGGTGGAGGGGTCATCAGCAAAGAATATGTTTTTGTTATCCTTCCAGAGGGAAATGTTGCAGTGTAGGCCACTTCCATTGTCACTTACTAGAGGTTTCGGCATGAAGGTAGCCGTTCGGTTGAAATTGTGAACGATACTTTTTATTACCTGTTTGGTGATGATTAAATTATCTGCATTTCTAACAGCGTCAAAATATCTCAAAGATATCTCGTGTTGGCTAGTCGAAACCTCATGGTGATATTTCTGCACGTGGATATTCAGGCTGTTTAAGATTCTACAAATTCGAAGCTTAATCATGTTGGAAGTATCATATGGGTCTGTGGCAAAATAACCGCATTTTTTTTTCACCTTCTTGCTGTCATCATTTGTAGGAATGTTGCCAGCGCAGTTCTGGCAGGCGAGGCTGATTGTAGTACCATGTTCTCCATTACTTGTGGTAGAATTTCCATTGCCACCATTTTTACAGGAAAAAGCCTCCCTGTCGTAGACCTTCAAATAACTGTCGTAATCATCGAGACCAAAATTCACCTTGTCGAAAATGAAAAACTCAATTTCGTTCCCTATGAATATGCTGTCTGCTATATTTTCCTTCTTGACAAAATTGCACGTCTTCTTCAAAATGGTTCGCGGACATTTGTAGTAGTCAAACCCGTTATACCTCTTGATGTCGCATAATACATTTAGCATGTTCCTTCCGTCACACTTCTCCATGAAGCACGTGGACACGTCCACCTTTATGTAGAAGTCACTGACCTCTGCATCTGCGCATAGCTTTATGGAGGACCCGTCAAAAGGGAAGCCGTTCTCCAATTTGGCCAGAGAAATTTCCGGCACATAGAAGAAGCATTTGAAGAAACTGCCCAGGAGGTTGCTAATGATGCACGCCACTATCTCCACGTCATTCTTCTCGTCCTGTATGAAGGCGAACAGCTCGGCTGCGCTCGAGAACTGGAAGGGTTCTTCGGGTGGGGGGATCAAAAGGGGAAAAGAGTATGAGACAAAGGGGAAGTGAGTGTGGGGGGATGCGGCTAAACGTACGTTCCTAAATATACACCACTTCAAAGCGATAACATGGTACTTTCCCTTGATAGAGGCTATCTAATTTTTTTCTTTCTTTCTTTTTTTTTTTTTTTTCCTTACTCATTATAGAATAGCTAGTCATTCGAAATGTGGGGGATCTAACCTTTCGCAGATTCGCTTACAGCTCTGCCTTTTCTAGAAAATGGGGTACCACTACCCCCCTTGGTCTGAACCCTCGTGGGCGAGTGTTCGTTCTGGGGCGGTCCTCTACCTCCGATTGAGGAAGGACCCTCCGATATGTGCTTTCGCCTTATATGGGTATTTCAACAAACGGGGGGTTCCCTACGGGAGGGGGTAAGCAACACCCGGAGCGGAAAAAATTGGCAACAGTTGACAACAAGGTGGCAAGAAGTTGATAAATCATCGCCCCAAATGGGAAACAAAAATAATCCCGTATACTCGAAAAAAATACCCTCTGAGGCGCTTATGCCCCAAGTGGAGAGAAAAGAGTACCTCAAACCGCCCGCCAGAAATTTTGCACGTGAAAGGAGAAAACCCTGCCGTTCAAGGGGGTGAAGTGCTGCAGGGCAGAGTGTGACCGGGTGAGGCAAACTGGAGTGTGAAACCACTCCGGCAAATACGCACTCGGTCGGGGCACATGTTCACGGTCGCTCCGGTTCTCATATAATTCACACACTTCAAAGGGGAAGGGGGGGAAGGTTTAAAACGTATCAAAATATGAATTGCCCCCCTTCTTGAAGGGCTAAGCCCGAAGATATGGGATAGCACCACCAAAAAAATGTGGCTGCTTATCATACTCTCCGCAAAAGGGTGAATGTTTAAGCGGATTCATCTATAGTGCAAAAGGGGTTCATATAAAGGGCACGCGGCTCGAAGGAACGAAAACAAAACGGTTAAGAGGAGCCACACCCCAAAGGAAATGATCCAACGGTTTAAAAGTAAATCGCAACGATGTTCCTTTGCTTGGTGGTGAAATTTCTACTAACCCCTTAGCGAAAAAAAAAAAAAGAAAAATTTATGTTACCCTTTTCCTTGATAACGCGGCAACAGCAAGGAGCCTAGGGGGTTGGTGGTGGCAAAACAGTTACCATATTAGCGCAACCCCTTTCTGCACGAACGGACGGATGCACAGCTCTAGGACGTTTTGTGAATTACGAAGCGGGAGGTGGAGCCTGGTGAGCCAAGTTTACTCGCCCCCCTCTTCTGCGCGTCCATTTCAATGAGATCCTTTTTCTCACGGGAATAGGAGTCTCACTCCGCCGCGGCTGCAAATGTCACCGTTACATAGTAGTAAACGCTGGCACCCCTTTACCGAATAGATACGCCACTACCCATCTCGTGGGTCGCTATCGCGTCGCGATTTTGTAGGTGAAACAGGATTGTAGTTGGTGCGTTCGATTGGTTCGGGACGGATGGAAAAGAAAAGATGGTTACATGGCCACGTCTGGGCGGCGAATCACTCAGTGGGGTGTAAGTACAATGGGGTGTAATACAATGTGGTGCGGTACAATGTGGTGCGGTACAATGGAGTGTAATACAATGTGGTGCGATACAATGGGAAACAGCTCAGGGGCCGCTGCTCTGATGGTGCCTACGTACATACGCGTGGAAATACAACACAGGTGATCACTCTATGCAGACGCAGCTGTACCGTTGCGCGTGGGGTGGGCCGGGCAATCGCTTGCGCGGAAACGCCCCCCACCCGTGGGAAGAGAGATACCACTGCGAATGACCCCGTTGCGACAAAAGGGAATGCTTATTACTCCTAGGGAGTAGCGGGTGTATAGAAACAGGTTCCTCCTGCGCAGTGGTATTCCCCCCCGCGCACGCTTAGGCGCATGCTTAGGCGCATCCTTACGCGCATGGCTACACGCATCCCTAGGCGCAACGGTAGAGCTGCTTCCCCTCTGCTGGTCCGCTATTTGCTGGAGAGGGCCAACACACCTGGGAGCTCCTTCCCCTCTAGTAACTCAAGGGAAGCCCCTCCCCCGGTAGATACATGGCTAATTTCGTTCTTCTTCTGTTGTTGTTCCACTAGCGAAGCAGTATCTCCTCCACCAACGATGGTTATGGCTCCCTTCTTCGTAGCTTCAATGACAAAGTTGAGGCATTCAATACTACCCTTGGCAAAATTGGGCATCTCAAATACCCCCTGGGGTCCATTCCAAATAATCGTCTTGGAGCTTAAAATGACGTCCTTATAATTTTCGATACTCTTAGGTCCAGCATCAAGTCCCATCCAATGATCCTCAATGCCTTCGTTCTCCGTCACAATCTTAGTATTGGCATTATTATCAAATTTGTCAGCCACTTTAAAATCGACAGGGAGGTAAATCTCTACCTTCTTCGCTTTGGCCTTCTCCATAATTTCATTTACAATTTTGCTACCAGCTTCATCAAAAAGTGAATCTCCTATTTTCATATTATTCAAAACATACTTAAACGTGTAAGCCATACCTCCACCGATTATCATTTTATCAACCTTATCTAGCAGATTCTTTATTAATTGAATTTTGTCTGATACTTTGGCTCCACCTAAAATGGCTAGTAGAGGTCTCTGTGGATTTTCCAAAGCTTTACTAAAATATTCTAATTCTTTTTTCATCAAAAATCCAGATGCTTTCACACTGAGTTTCACTCCAACCATGCTGCAGTGTGCCCGGTGAGCTGTTCCGAAAGCATCATTAATAAAGATGTCTCCTAATTTGGTTAATTCATTTTGGAACTTCTCTATGTCTTCTTTCTTTGCCTTTATTTTATTTCCAGAGGAATCTACCCCTTTTCCTTCTTCTTCTAGATGAAATCGCAGATTTTCGAGAAGAATGACTGAATTGTCCTTGGCTTGGTTTATCTGTTTTTGTACTTCTTCTCCTACACAGTCGTTCAGGAAAAGCACCTCCTCGCCGAGTAATCCCTTTAACGTTTCTGCAACGGGCTTTAAGGTGTATTTTAGATTCTTGCAACCGTCCGGCCTTCCGCAATGCGAAATGAGGATAATCTTAGACGCTCCTTCCTTCTTCAAGTGGTGAATCGTGGGCAGCGTAGCCGTTATTCGGTTCGTATCTTTTATCACTCCATTTTCAATTGGCACGTTGAAATCTACGCGCACTAGGACCTTCTTCCCCTTGATGTCCTTCACGTCGGTGATGCTGAGCTTGTTTCCCAACATGGCTGCGTCTGCGGGGGGGGAGCAGTGTAGGGGAACTGCTGTACTGACCACCCAACAGGAGGAGATACAAAGTTCGCTTTACCGATGAGATACGGCTCATCTGGGGGGGGGAACTACGCTTCGCGAGCGTTATCCCCATAGCAAAGCAAACTGTGGCTTACCTTGCGTGGATGTGACGATTCCTTTGGTGATTTACTGCTATATTGCAATATGCCGCAAAAAGCGTGCGTACGAAATTTATCGGAAAAAAAAAAAGAAAGTATTACTCAATGGCAGTACTTCTATATACCCTTCGCGTTATCCAAAAATTGGTGTCCAGAAAAAGTCACTTCAGTGTTGTTTGCCAAAATGAAAAAAAAAAATAATCAAATAACATAAAATAAAATAGAAATTTTGTACCTTTTCGAGCTTAATTTTACAGAATGGGATAAATATTTTTACCTTCTATTAAAATGAAAAATTAACGCTCTCTTTTGTGCGTTGCGATGGATGCGATTTTTGCACATGTGGAGAGAGGGGCATCTCGTTTTTTCTAACTGCCACGGATGGGAGAGCCATGGGCATAGAGAAAAAAGAAAAGAAAAAAACACCCCGTCTGCACAAACCCCGCGGAGTTATACCTCTGTATGCGTACTCCCCTTCTGCGCGCAAATGCAAAAATGAATGAGCAGCCTCGACGTGTCAGCCCACATCGCCTTACCGATACGCATTATGCAAGCATGTGGCATGCATTTATTGTAGCGTATCCCTCTCCTGCGCTAAATAAATGTACCAAAGGAGAGAAAACTACATATAGCAGCCGCTTCCATTTTGTCGTCCTCTCCACTCACAAGTGTAGTGCGCAAAGTATAGCGGCTCAAACGGGCCCACCATCATGGGTACGCAGAGCGGTTGGGTACACTTCTTTGAAAAAAAAGAAAAAAAAAAAACAGTGATCATTTGGATGTTCCTGAGGAAGCGAGGGAGTGCACGGCGGGGAGCTAAGAACTCCTGCATAGGAGTACAACGTTAGTGCATTTTACTACACGGCATAACTAACTATATGTGCTGCTTACATTGGACCCGCGGCAAGTGGCAAAAAGGTAAGGGCACCCCTTTCGCAAGTGGAGCTATACATATAAAGGGTTCAAGAAAAAAAAAAAAAAGGAAACTCATTCTTTTTTTTTTTTTTTTTTCCCTCTTGCGGTAAGTGAAAAAATGGAGTAATAGAAAAAAAAAAAAGAATATCCCCGATGTGACTAAAGTTTGTATTCCACATGGACGTTGTGTTGTTCCATCAGGTAGGAGCTGGGCAGGCAAAAAAGGTGGTGGGTTGTAAATGGGGCAACATATTTGCACAAAATTGGCAAAGAAATGTACTTCGTCTCCTCGTCGCCCACTTCGTGACAATATTTCATCACTGAATTCTGTACGGAGAAAACTAAATGGGCGCTGCTTCCATGGCGGCACAAAGATGTGCCTTCATCCTACACACTTGAAAGACTTACCAAATTGGCCTCGCCACACTCATAAACTTAAGGAGCATTTCGTTGTACTCCTCCGTCTCATCACTCTTGATAGTGACGGCGCCACCGGCCCCGATGGAAATCTGCCAAAGGGGGGAGGAAAAAAAAAAAAGAAATAGGGTCGAGTGAATGCAAAATTGGTCCCCGTTAATGGTGTGCAGTTTTGGCCACTTTTTCAACCCTTCCATCTTACCGCCCTGTTTTGCACCACAGCCGTTCTAATGACGATGTTAAGGATAAAATTTCCCTCCACGGAGATGAACCCAATGGATCCGGAGTAAACCCCCCGGGGGGCCTTCTCGATGCTGCGTCGTGTGGGGGAGATAGTGTGACGAGGGAGTGTTGTTGTGTGCCGGGGAACGGGGTGACAAAGTGGAGTCGCAAACTCGCAATGTACGATGTGGCGTTCACTTCGTGGTAGTGCTTGCGCGGTTGCAATGTTGCCCCGTTGCGATGCTGCCCCGTTGTGCCGCTGCACCGCCTCACCTTTGCAGAAGCGAAATAGATATGGGCTTGGGCGCGCCCGTCATGGAACCGCCTGGAAAAACATTGACAATGGCATCTGCAAAGGTTTTCCCAGGGAGAAGCCTTCCATATATTTGGGAAACCATTTGGTGGAGATAAGCGTAGCTCTCAATCTGAAACAAGTGGCTGACACGAACGGTATCAATTTGGCAAATCCTGTGAAGGTCGTTGGTCGTGAGATCTACAATCATAAGATTTTCGGCTCTGTCTTTTTTACTATTGAGCAGTTTCTCTTTCATTTTCGAATCCTCTTCATTCGACTTTCCTCTCCTTATGGTCCCTTTGATTGGTTTGCTAAAGAGGATGTCGTCTTTATCCTTTCGGAGGAATTCCTCGGGACTAATGCACATGACTGTGAATTGCAGTTCTTCATCGATCGCGGGGTTGCTACTTAGTTGGAAGGGTACTGACTCAGCGTCCATTTTTCTCCAGTAGTGAATGTAACAACTGTAGGCAACCTTATTGACGCGCCTTACATGCAAATACATGTTTAGAGAATCTACAGAGGGTGCATTAGAATCCGACACGAAATAGTATCCTACAAATTGGGTCGTTAAGCAAAGTTCGTACGAATGCCCCATTTCAATGTACTCTTTGCACCGTTTTACATTTTCCATATATTCATCTTTACCTACCAGTGGAGAAAATACAATCTTGTTTTCGTTTGCTTCGTTCGTGTGCGGCAGCTGCTCATGGTATGGGAAACACTCCGGGGGGGTGATGCATACAAAGGAGGGGACCTGACAGTGCTGATCGCATTCCAGTTTTGTCTTAACAATTCTGACGATTTTGTGGATGGCTTCGTGATTCCATCTGGCATTGTACTGCAAGACGTTGTGCACATCTTGGCTGCTCCAAAATGTGGGGGAGTGCCCCAACGGAGACTTAAAATAGGCATCTTTCGGTTCGAGCGAAATTAAGTAAATATTATTATTTACCAAATCGAGTGAGATAAAATTCTGAGGGAAAATAAAAACAGAAATTGGGATGGCATTCTTCGATTCCCTGTCCTGGGCATGATTCTTCCACTTTTTTTTATACAAGATTTTCATCGTCTCGTAATTATATTCGTATGTAAAGAAGCCAAAGTAGCCCAAGAGGCAGGAGTTTCTATGCCTCACGAATTGGTCCTCTTGGATTGCCCCTTTGGGAAGGTAACCTTCGTAAGGATAACCATCCGGGGGGAGTTGTCCCTCTTCTACTGCTGCTTCTTCCGCTGCTGCTTCCCCCCCTGTGGAAAAATTGGTCATGTTCTCACCCCGCCCCGTTCTGCACTGATTGAAGGTGCCATGGCACTTCTCCATTTTGACCTCCTCCAAGTGGATGTTATAATTACCCTTAAAGAGATTTATCCGATCTCTCATGTGATGCACCAGACAGTTGTCTGGATCCTCACTGTAGTGCGTCACTCGATACGATTCCTCGCTCGACCTCTTCCCCAACTGAACGATTGTGCCATTCATTTGGTGCCCTCCCCCATTCTCTGCGTAGTAATATTCTAACAGTTCGCTTAAACGGCCTTTCGCATTTCCCATGTAGGAAAATCGGCAGCTGGTATGGAGGTAGCCGCTATGGAGGTGATTGGCATGCAGGTGGCTGCTATGTACATGGCCGCTATGGATACCACTTCTATCCCTAGTGGCATCTCCTTCGTGTTGGATCCCCTCCCCCTTGGAGTAGTAGCCCTCCGGAGGGGCATCCAAAACTTCCCCGTTGCTGTCCAGCCAAAAAGACACATCATTTGGGTCATAAAAAATGGCTCTGAAAATGGCATGCGAGAAATTACGCAAGTTATGCACCCCTGACAGTTTTATAATTTTTATTTTCCATGCTTTCTGTCCCCGTTCATTTGGGGGAAGCTCAAAAGAACCTCCTCCCTGCAGGAGGTTACTCCACAGTTGGTGCTCTGTATAGTTGACCGTGGCTTCTCCCCCCCTACGCCCACCGCTTCGCTTCAGTGTAATTTTTTTAAAATTTTCAAAAAAGGTGTCGCTGAAGTCACTTTCGATAGACTCCGGGTGATACTGGACAGTGTAGTATGGGAGGTATTTATGTTGCGTGCCCATAACTATGAATTCCTCTCCACAAAGTGAGTAGCATGTAATCCGCAACGGATCAGGGACCCTTTTGGACACCTTTAGGGAATTGTAACATGTCGCTTTGAACCCGTCCTGTACATTTTCAAACAAATCGCTAGCTATATTTTCGTACTTGCATATATGAATTATATTTGTGTCCCCATGAAACATGTTCTTTACTTTTTTTATTTTACACCCATAGAGGTGGCAGATTAATTGGTGCCCAAAGCAGATGCCTAGGATGGGAATGTCGATCTTCCTCTCCAGCATCCCTGCGATTAGATCGTCTCTGCTCCTTCCCCCCGTTTGAGGATTTCCATACCCTGGGGAGATCACTACATTGTCGACTTGGGGATAATATTTCCTCACAAAATCGTCAATGGTTAGTTCCCCCGGGTGCACGACTATCGGTTCCGCACCGTTCACCTTGCGCAGGTAGTGGACGATGTTGTAAGAGTAAGAGTCGAAGAAGTCGACGAAGAGGCTCACCACGCGCCGCTCCATGTGGTGTAAGTTTAGGACACAGAAACGAAGAACGAGGGAAGCTTTTCCCCCTGTGTTAGACGCGGCCACCAGGAAAAACGCACAAACGGGCAGGAAGCAAAATTAGAGAAGGGGGGCAACTACTCCTTCCAGACATGCAGCCAAAGATGCATGGTTTTCACGCCTTCACTGAGAGGTAGCCCCTAACACGCAGGTACCCTTTGCGAACTTAAGAAGCAAAACGGTATGTGCGCCTCCAGCTAGCTAAACAAAGTTAAGGCAAAGCGGGAAAAAAAAAGAAAAAAAAAAAAAACAACCACTACGCCTGTGCGTGATAAAACCCTACATATGCATCCCCCTCCGTGGGCCATCTAAACATTCACATTTTCGTATTTACTCTTTTCACATAAGGACGCCTGGGGGCACCAATCTGTGAGCAGGGCGGGAAAGAGGATATTACCTTTTACGGATAACCCATTTTGGAATAAATGACGTCCCCGCGGAAAGGAAGTTACGGGCAAAGGAGAGCAACTGAAGAACACGCTCTATACTCTCCCGAAGTACACCCCGTGCAATCACGTGCGCTTCGCTTCCATGCAGGACGTCGATTATGGTTTTCCCCCTTTCGTGACTCCCCACATTAGGCCCTCAAAATATGCACCTTTAAAATTATCATATAGGGACTCTATTTCCTCCAGATTATACAGCAGGGAGGGCGTTCCCTTCTTCAGCTTTTCGTACTCTTTGCTCCACTTCTTCCCTCGCAGCACCTGCCGACGTGGTGGGGGAAGCAGTTAGAAAGGGAAGAGGTCAGTGAAGCGGTCAATCAGGAGACCATCCAACTGACACACTGAGTAACTCTACACAGCAACGATGCGGGGGCGCCTCGTCAAAGCTGAACATTACGATGTTCCTAAATTTGCAGTTCCCCTTGTTGGCCAACAGTCCAAACGCGCCCTGTGAAGGGTTAAGAGAGTGTGCAGGTGTAGAGGTCGGGTGGAGGGACGGCATGCAAAGAGTGCCATGAATGAGAGGGGACAATCCCCCATTATCTCCCCTCAAATCGGTTGCACTGATGAGCGGCAGACGGTCACACATCAGCAGAAAGGAGAAAATTTCATCGCTTAAATGGCACTGTCAACGGGTGAGAAAGCCGGACGAAGCGGTAGACTCATATGACCACGTCCTCACGTCAGACACACCTGCTTAGCTGTGCTATATTCCGACTCGTCTTCGCTTTTCCTGAGATAGTCAACGGAAAGGTCTCCATACTTCCCCGCCCTAACCTTTATGTCCTTTATCACTTCCTGCGCAAATAAGACGTACCAGTTGTCGCTTTTAATCTTCAGTTCTTTGAATTCTAAATCGGGAATAGGAAAAAGGGGGAGGAGGCGAGGTGCATAAATATATTTTTCCCCTATCTATGTGCACTGAGAAACCATGGATAGGAAAGGACCCGTTAGAGATAGATCTACGAGGGGTCACCTCCACACGTATGCACATATATAACTACACAATTTGTACATGTCTGTCCCCTTTTTCCTACCCTTGAGTACCAACAACTCTCCCTCCTTGACGCGAATGAGCTTTAAAATCTTGTTGTCTATTAGGAGCCCCCAATAATTTCGCTCCCCGACGATGCGAAAAATTAACCCGCATGACTGCGCGTCGTTCATTTGGACCTCCAGCTGGGCTATGGTTTTCTGACACAGGGAGTGCGTGAGTCAGCGTAAGTCATCGTAAGTAAGTCAGCGTAAGTAAGTCATCATAGGTAAGTCATCGTAGGTAAGTCATCATAGGTAAGTCATCGTAGGTAAATCAGCGTAAGTAATCCTATGTATGCCCGCCCATGCATGAACCTAATCAACCGTAAGTCTCCTGGGCGGATATGCCAAATGAACGCGAGACCCTCCGCGCAAGTCCACTTTCTCCTGCCCACCTTGCAGAAGAAGTCCCTTTTGATTAGGGACGTCCGGGTGCTCATCCTGCAATCATTAGCGCAATTGTGAGGAAAAGAAGAAAAAAAAAAAAAATACACAAGTGGACTTATTAACGGGGAGTGAATCCCCCCCCCATAGTCACCTCTCTGCGACTACGTTGGTGTGTGCACAGTTGGGGAGGAGTAACCTGTTGTCTAGCCATCCAAAGGGAAAGGGATGATTCTAAAGGGGGAAATGAAGTTCTCTTATTAGTAGGCGCAGAAATGGGAAAAAACACCTCCACTCATCCCCCCACGTATGCACACACAAAGCATACACAAAGCAGACACATAATATAGACACGTCGCGTACGTGATTATATTCATTACTGATTCTCTGCAGCTGTCCCTCCCCTTGTATTCTATCACTGCCTTCTCATTGTCGATCTGCCAGTTGTCCGTTTGGAGCCATTGGCTATCTGGGAAAAAAAAAAGAAAAAGAAAGGGGGAGACACCACAAGGGGGAGAAGTGGGTTTATATATGTGATTGTTGTATCTGTTTACGAACTGCACATATACAGGTGGGTCCTGTTATGTCACACATATCATGAGCATTGTTTTGTGGAGTCCTTTACTCAGATCGACTGGGTCGTAAGTCTGCTTCAAGAAATATTCGCGACATCTTAAGGGGAGAGTTAAAGTGTGTTCGGAAATGACATGGGGTATTAATTTTTGGCATTTTTTTCTTTTTTTTTGCTTTACTTTTTCTATATTATTTTATCTTCGGCTAAGGGTAGACACTTCTCTACCGTTGCGAGCTTCTCGTCTGCTCCTCCTTTGTACACCTACCCTCCTAGGTTGAACAAAAAAAAAAAAAAAAAACTCCGTCTCAAAAAAAAAAAAAAAGAAAAAATGGAAGCATGAACATGCAGGGAGGACGACTCATTTGTGATTCAAGCGGATGAGAAGAAGAATCGGCATTTTTTGGCACTTGTCGAAGTGGCTGTTTTTTCTTTTCCTTTTTTTACGGTAATCCAAATGTTTTTTAAAATATTTGGGCGTTTCGGACGGATATATTCTGCGGGGAACACGAAAGGGAAAAGACAACATTATGTCCTACCAGATTGTGAAAATTCAAACACTCTCTACAACTGGGTCTACTTTCTTGTCTCTGCCTTATCAGAGGCCCTTTTGGGGGGTCCTCCTTAAACAGGCAAAACGTTCTTCCTACGTACACGTTGGTTAGCCAAGTCAGAACGTTAATTTTACTTTGGACGAATCTGCTATTCGTATGTTCGTACCCTCCATTGGGCACTTTACACTTTGCAACATAGGACAAGCAGAACAGGGCAAAGTGGAGAAGCAGGCCCCGTCTCGCCATCCCTGCGATTTTGTATTTATTTGGCATCTTTGGGGGCACGGAAAACGACACAATCGCTACCTTGGAGACAAATTGGAAAACCGGAGGAGGATACAAAGCAGACGAACGGAGGCAAGTGAGACCGGTAAATTGTAGCGTTTCTGAGTGAGCGGTAAATTGTGTTTCCGCAACTTTGGGGTTAATGTAATTAATTAACCACCCAAGAGGATCTCTGCTGTGATGCGACAGTCTGCTTCTCCTTCGATGAAGCGCAAAAAGAAAAAAGAAAAAGGAAAATCAAAACGAAAAAGTAAAAGAGAAAACCAAGTGTATGTACAGAACGGTGCCTAACAAATGGGCCCTTCTTTTTGATGGAGACTGGCTAACATTCAATCACAGCCCAGGAGGACGCCCCTATATCGTTGCGTATCCACGAGCTTCCTACTCGCTCACTTGCGCCCCTACTTATGCGATCACTTACGTGCCACTTCTGCGACTATGCATGTGCCTACGCGCACCGGGGCGAATGCGACTGGCCCAACGTGCATACTCGGTAGGCTCCTTCACATACCTACACACAAACACACACACACGCATATACACCCGGAACTCTAACGAAATGAACCCTAATTGGTAGAAAAAAAAAGAAAGAGAGAGGCAAATGATGAACTTGAAAAAGGCCAAAGTGAGGGTTACAAAAAATAAAACATATCCTGGTGCCACAATTGTTACTAGCACAAATGTCATTACATTTTTCGGGAGGACAACCAAAACAAAAACATAAGAGTGGCATTTTGTTTCTTCTTTTTTTTTTTTTTCCTTGTGGGTGGAAACACATATGTACATATACATTCACATACGTACGCACATAGGCGCATGTGTTAATTAAAGGTGATGGGGGAAAGAAATAAAAAAAAAAAAAAGGGGATACAAAATGAAACGACTTTTTCTTACGCGTCCCTGTGTTGAATTGAATTTGGACGAATATACATGGAGATGTGCATTGCGGCACGGATGGGTCGCGTCCTTGGCAGTACACACAAGCGCACTCCTGCTGTAGACTTCCGCTCTTGTGCATTCCTGCCGGTAACATATACAAACGCGCGACGCACGCGCGGGGAGTAGCAAATTTAAACCCGCCAAAATGCCAATTCACCTGCGGCCGAAAAATAGCTGCAACTTCCAATCTTATTAATTACAAACGCAGATAATTGAAGAGGATCAAAAGTCGGAAAACACACGCGCAAGTGTTGCTGCTCAGCATGTTTTTGTCTTCGCTTGTTTCTCCGCGAGTCTCTAAATGGATAACTGTATGTAAGGGGGTCACTTCTGTATGGACAACTGGGTCTTTTTTTTTTTTTTTTTTTTTATTGTATTGGGTGGAGCGGCCAAAGGGGGGTTTCCATCAATGGGGTTTCAGTTTGTGTCTCTCTCCCTCGGTGTCTTCCGCCTCCGAAGCATCCCACCTCTGTCTCGATCGTGCAGTGCAACCTCGTCCTAATCACGGGGGTTCCCCACTGTAACGACAAGATAGAACTCAATTCTTGAGCACGTTCTTCTCATGGGTGAGATCCTTTATCTTCTCCCAGCTGAATGAATTGTCGCTTCTTCCAAAGTGGCCATATGCAGACGTTTTGGAAAAAATGGGCTCCTTTAATTTTAACTCCTCTATGATGAATCCAGGTCTCAAATCAAAGTTGCGCAAAATAATTTGCTCCAAGTCATAATCAGTGTACCCTGTGCTGACTGTTCCATACGAATTGACATTCAATGAAATAGGATTAGCAATTCCAATGGAGTAGGATGCCTGCACTAGGACCCTCCTGCAGAATTTATTTGCAACCAAGGACTTTGCAATGTAACGTAAGTAGTACGCAGCTGAGCGGTCCACTTTGGATGGGTCCTTTCCAGAAAAGGCACCCCCTCCATGTGCACCCCAACCTCCATAAGTATCACAAATAATCTTCCTCCCCGTTAACCCTGCATCTGCTGCAGGTCCTCCCAGCACAAATTTCCCCGAAGGGTTTAAATAGTATAGAGTCTCCTCATCAAGAAGCTTCTCAGGGATGACATACTTCACTACGTTTTCTATCAAGTCAGATTTTAATTGCTCATATTTTACATTCTCTGCATGCTGCGTCGAAATCAAAATGGTATGAACACGTAGAGGTTCCATATGCCCACCGAAGCTTCCTTTATTTTTATACTCTATGGTTATTTGTGTCTTTCCATCCGGTCCTAAATAGGGAAGGATGCCTAGCTTCCTCACCTCTGTTAATCGTTTTCCTAATAACGTGGCGTAGTGATGAGTCAATGGCATATAATTTTCAGCTTCATCAGTGGCATATCCAAACATAATTCCCTGATCGCCAGCACCTATCATTTCTGGCTTTTTATTTTCGTGTACACATTGAGCAATATCAGGGGACTGCTCATCAATATATATTTTGATGTCTGCTGTTTTGTAGTCCAATCCTTTGCTCTCATCATCATATCCTATGTGCTTTATAACGTCTCGAGCTACCTTGTCGTAATCAACTCTAGCTTTGGTTGTTATTTCTCCAAGGATAAAAATGAAGTTTTTCTTCGCGCACACTTCGCAGGCCACTTTGCTCTCTGGGTCTTCCCTCAGGCAGGCGTCTAAAATGGCGTCCGAAATTTGATCGCAGACTTTGTCTGGATGTCCCTCATTCACCGACTCGGACGTGAACAGGAAGTTTCCTCGCTTTATTTTGAGGTGATTCATTTTGCTGGCGTGGTGGTGGGTGCTTTGCAGGTTAACGCTGCTGGGTGATGCTTATCGATGCTAAAAGCTGCTGAGCGATGCTTAATGCTCCTTATCGATGCTGGAGAGCCGCTCCAACGTGCGCGTACGCCTGTGTTGGAACACCTGCCAAGTGATAAAAAGTGGAAGGCTTCTGGCGGTCCAGATAACGAAGCCTTTATCAATGTAACACAAAAGGAGAAAGTCAAATGGGAAAAAGGAGATGGGAAAAGGAGATGGGAAAAGGCAGAAGGGAAAAGGAGAATAAAAAAACAAAAAAAAAGGATCCACAGACCGCAAACAAATTGATGTTCAAATGTACAAAGTATTCAGCGTAATAAACTAATACGCTGAAAAAGAATGCGAAATTTTTTTCCCTTTCTTGTTCCGAAGGAGAGAACTGCTCATTTGCTTGTTTCGGCTCACTCGTTTTCGCAAAAAGGATTTTTCCTTATTTGGGTATGCCCAAAAAACCTTGAATTTTTTTTTTTTTCTTTTTTATCTTCTCGTGCGTACAAAATTTGTACAGGTAGGGGGTATGGCTACGCAAATGCATACGCGAGTGACCTCTAAGTTTTAATTGTTTCCAACAACTGGGGTTGAGTCGTTTGTTGGATAATTTGTCTGTTGTTCGTTTGTTTGTTGGTTTATTTGTTTGCTTGTTTTTGTTAGCTTCTTTCTTGCTTCGCTGCGCACTTTTTATTTCCGCAATGCCGCGCGACAATCATACGTTGCTGCTCCAAAATGGGAAAATAAAAAACTGCAGGAAGGTGACAGAAATATCGCCTAAGCGTTGGAAGAAATGTAACGGTGAAACGATAAGACGATGGAGTGATAACACAATGGAACAATCGCATAATCGAATGCTGGAACAAAGGAAAGATGTTTTGCAAACAATGAGTGAAAAAAACAATTTGGTGGATTTAATTTTTACGCGTTTACGATTTCGCCTCGAGTTTTGCGAAGTATAAAAGTTTGTGTGCTTTTTTTATGTTTTTTTTATTTTTTTATTTATTTTTTTTTTTGCCGTGAACGCGAACCGGCGTTATGCGGCAGAAGGAAAAAAAGTGCTATGAGAAAGTTTGCATTTTTCTTCCTCACCCCCTCTACATGCGCAATTTACAAAGTGGATTTAATATAGCACGTTTGGATGTATTTCTGTTATTTTTTCTTTTTTTTTTCGTGGATATTTCGTCTGGTTTATTCCTACGTTCGTCCGAGCCGTCAATTGGCTGTCGGTCGAGTTGTCAGTTGAAAGGTCAGTTGTACGATCAGCTGGTCAGTTGAGCGATCATCCATGTGAGTTATTACACCCCGGGGGTGATCTGAGTAGCCTACCCGTTTGCCCAATTCACCTTTTTCCTTTTTACGGTACTCCCCCCCAGCGGTAGCGCATTTTTCGCCGCTAAACCGCTACTGGCTCGTGGGGGGAAGGCATCACACGGAGGGCTGCAGGACAAGAGAGTGTAAAAGGGTCTCAAAGCGAATAGTCCGTCATATCTACGCGCAACACGCAGACGGTTCACCCCGGGGAATTCACGAATGGTGCGGGCGCCCTCCACATTTTCTACTACATCTCCTCACGTCCCTGCAACGGTACGTAGCATCTAGTTTAGAATGAACCGAGACAATTATAGTCTCGCCTTTACAAGGGGAAGTGTCAAATGGGATGCGGTTACGCAGGAGTTGCTGGCGCGAAGGGGAATCGCTTCTCTGTGGGGGTTCCCCCTTACGCTCGTTTGATTGAGGATCACCAGCAGGGGCGGGGAGTTACAAGAAGGTGCCACAATAACGTACCACAAGAGGGTACACCACAAGAAGGCACGGTGCACGCGGAGCGGCCATAGGAGGGGGGAGGGCAACCAATTTTATCGTATCACCCCTAGTGTGCGCTGACAGGTATGGTGCTTTATGACTCCCATTTAAGACTGCCCTTTTGTACCCCCAATTATCTGCTTTCAGTTTTTCTTCCCGCGCGCCAGATGTGTTGAGGTTTAGGCAGGCAAATTCCATTGCCCATATGCGTGTGCCGATTTACATCCGTTATATGCGTTACGTTCCGGCTGCACAAAGCGGGGGTCACACCTCCGCACCCCATGTAATATATCCCCACCCCATTTGCTGCGTCCAAATGTAAAAGGTGAACCCGTTCGCTCTACATTCACTTATACCGAGGGGGGGAAAAAGTTAGGCCTTCCCAAAATGACAAACGTTGGGAAGGCAAACAAGTCGGTCATTATGCCACGGTTATTGTAACGCCGTTTTTATAGTTTACTTATTTGCGAAAAAGTTAAAAAAAAAAAAAAATTTTTTTGGACTTTATCTTAAGTTAAGTTTGTTAAGCTGTGCTCATCATCTGCCAAGTTTGCAGCATTTTATAAATCGTACGTATGTTTGATGAGCATGTGAAAACGGGGGAAGAAAAAAACAAGAGAAAAAGAAAAAATTTAACACTCATGTAAAGAAACAAAAATTTCCGAAATGCAAGGGGGGAGTGAGAAGTTATTTCCCATCTGCGCCAGGTGGATTTACTTATCCTTCTTTTCCATTTCGTCAAACAGTTCTTCGCACAGGGAAAGGGCTATGGGGAAGGAAAAAATTAAGATACGCAAATTAAAGACGAAATGGCCACATGAGCAAAGGATAAAATGCGTGAACAGACAAATGAACAGATAAGCAACGGAAGAACGAAACATATCGGAAGGATGACCAATAAAGACATTCATGCGACATACGTTTAGGCATTTTATTTTTATTTTTTTCTTTTTTCCTTCGACCGCTTACATCCCAGGGGAAGTTGCCTCTGCTCTGGGTTGGGTCGTATTTCCCCATTTCTCACTTACTCGGATATTTAAATTTCTCCAACTTATAGTCTTCGTTATTTTTGATGGACTTTTTTACAAACTCGAGAACGTGCATGTCGAAGGCGTTTAGCAGGTCCTGTTCCAAAATGGCGAAAAAAGAAAAAAAAAAAAGAGTAATGTAACGGTTTGAATGTGTACAAAAATGGATGTACGGACAAGCGCTGCGAAAAACAAAATGGGGAAATTAAATGAGAAAAGGATTTGTTCTTCTCTTCTTTTTTTTTCTTACGTCCGATAGTTCCAGGTTCGTGTTCAAGTTTATGTTGCTCATGTTTCTTTTCCAGCTGCGAGATGGACGACGTGGAGGGGTGTATGCAAGTTTGTCGATATGGAGAAGTGTGTGCAAGTTTGTCCGTGTGGAGAAGTGTCTACAAATTTGTCAGCGTGGACAAGTTTGTGCAAACTCACAGGAATGGCAAGAAATTGCTGAAGGAGATTTCATCTTTGGACGAACCGTCGCCAATGTATGCGTTGCTCAACCGGCGCCTGTTTCTCCAAATTTTAATCATCTGCGGGGGGAATAGAAATAGAAAAAAAAAAAAAAAAAAAAGATATATATATATATAATTCTCCTGAAACGCTCCTCTCGTGAGTTAAAGCAAAATCGGGAAAAAAAACGCTAAACAGTTCTGTTACCTGTCCGGAGAATATCTGAGTATTTTCAACCCACGTCTTATATCTGTTCTTCACTTCCTCGGGCATTCCTTCGAACTTTTATTGATGAGGGGGAAATACACAGGTGTGGAGGCACACTTCCATGGCAGCACACACATAGGCAAGACACTTAATCAGTTTTGTATATGCTAAAACACATGTGCACTCTCATTTTACCTTATCGCGAGGGGGTTCTGCCTGCTGGCCGCCGCCTCCCCCAGCCAGTTGATTCTGCACACAATTTAAAATGTTCGAAAAGTTTATGTTGGGCATCGGGGGGGCGTTGTTCACGGAAGGGGTCCTCCTAATTTCGGTGACGGAGGAGCTATCCGTCCTACTGCTTGCAGCGTTCTTTATGTCACCGCCCTGTTGTACGATTTGTTGTGCCTCCTTTTCGCCCTGTGGAGTAGCGTCCTTTTCCGTTGGTTTTTCTTTCTGAGGGATGCTGCTAGGATGGATGCCTTTTCCCTTGTCGCCATGTTTGCCATCTTTATCTTCAGCCTTAGGATGATTCTTCATGTTGGCGACCTCCTTATCCTTTCCATCGTCGGACACGTCGTACATATCATCCATGTTACTGTCACAGGAGGCGAAGTTACTATTTGTTGCATTGAGGGCGTCCCCTCTTCCTTCTTCATGTTTTGCACTTTTTGGGTGACTGCTGTTACTGGTCATTTTTCCGTTTTCCCTTTCCTCATTTTTGTTTTTAACGAGGTTGTTGAAGATGTGGTTCAGGGGGACACCGTGTCCTGCGTGTTCTGCATCTGCTGCATTTCCTGCGGTTAGGGCGGGTCATTTTTGGGGAATGTTAGCCAAAGGGGGGAAGCAAAACGTCGGCGAAAGTGGCGCGGGCGGGAGTCCCGTGTATGTGTGTACGTATGTGTGTATGTATGTACGTATGTGTGTATGTATGGGGGTGGTGGGGCGCGCTCCACCCATTTTACCTCTTCCTGCTGCTGCTGCTCCTCCACTACTGCCGCTGCTTTCATTGGGGTCTCCGCTGCTGTAACCCTTGAAGGAGTGGCCATCCTTAAGCACTTCTTTCACGGCGTAGGTTTTTATGCCATCTCTTCCTTTTTTTGGGCCCTCCTTCTCATCGCTCCTTTCCTTAAGGCCCGGGTAGAGCAGCGACTTGTTACCCTGTCCGGGGAAGTTCGAGAAGGGGTTGTTGCAGTGGCTGCTGTTCCCGCTGACGTTCAAATGGTTCGAGGCGTTATTGGAGGTGCCATTCCACTGCCCACCTTGCCTAAATCTGCTGCTCATCTTTTTCTCGCTATGTGGATTGGAATTGCCTACTCTGTCGTCTCCTTTGCCGTCTCCCTTGCCTACTTTGTCGTCCACTTTCCCTACTCGGTTGCTACTTACACCATCTTCCTTCCCTTGAGAACGTTCACCAGTGTTACTCCTCTCCTTATGGGTACCAAACTCTTTCCTCAAAAGCATATTCTTGTTCCCCTTAACAGTACTAAGGTAGTTTTTATAATAGTCCTCGAATTCCTGTTGCAGGTTTGTTCTGTTTGTACTACTCCTCAGGTCATTATAAGGTAGGGGGTAATAGTTATCCGTGGCGTTGTGTAGGTAAGAGGAGCTGTCGTTGTTAAAGGGGTCCATATTTCCTCTGCCATAGTTGCCATTATGGAAGACGTCATTCTGAAAGAACCTAGTACTCCTATTCGAATGAGCATTCCTTCCATTATTTGAATAATACAGATTTCTTAGCTCTCTAAGGTATTCATGATTGATAGGATCTGAGTACCTGTAGTGTCTTCCATAGTTGTTGCAATAGAAGTTGTCATAAAAGACGAAGAAGAAGTTGGACAATCGAGAGAAAACTACCGACGCTAGGGATAGAATGATACTTATCCTGGAGAAAGAAGACATGGTAATCTCGCTATTCATAAAATTGGAGTGATTAAATTGGATAATGATGTTATTAATTATATTGTTAATATGTACAAAGAGATAAAAGAAAACAAAAATGGAGTTGCTATTGTGGTAGGAATTGATGTAGGAGGATAAATCTGGTCTTCGATATCCTGTTTCTTCTTCTAGGAGGACTAGCAGCTGTTCTATGACTCTCCATGGGATGTTTACTTCCATGTTTTTGTGTTCCGAATCGTTTGCTTCGTTTAAGCATTTCAAATCGCTTCTCCTTAGTGCACTGTTTGGTCTGTCGCTGGACATTTGTATCGATCTTATGTTCGCCGATAAGGAGTTATTGTCCGAAAGGAGGGCACCCTCTTCTTCTTCATTAATGGCTACTCTGGAGTTCGTTGGCAGGAAGTCGTTGCGGACGATCTCATTGTTCCTTTCTATGTCACTCAGTGGCACTAAGTTCGCATACGCGCCCCGGGGTGGATAGTTGATCTCGTCCATGGGTCCGCCTGCGAAGAGGGGGGTGCAGAGGTGGTGGCGATTGTACCGATTGCAGTGGTGGGGCAGGTGGTATCCATTGTAGCGGTGATACTCTTCTCTCTTTCACCGCTTCGACCTCTTCCGCCCTTACCTGTGCCGCTTGTCTTCAAGTTGCTGCCCGGAAGGTCCACCAAATTGTCTTGCGCGCCGGCGTTCCCGAACAGAGCCTTGCTGCTGTTGTAGGCCTTCATCATCCTCTCCTTCTGCTTCATGAAATCATCGACAATGTTGTGGTTGTTCGGGCCGTTCACATTCTCGTTCGTCTCGCTCAGGTCGTCTCTTCCATAGTTAAGGCCGTTCCTGCTTTCTCTGTAGAACGGGGCACCGACAGGTGTTCTCCCCCCGTGATCCAGTACAAAGGGTGGATACGCCGCTGCTAATCTCAAGTCATTTCTTCCTTTGAAAATCGGATTGAAGTGATTATTTATCCTCGCGTGGCTAATGCTGTTCGGGTGGTACATATAATTATGGTGGTACAAAAAATTTGGGTCGAAAAGGTACCTCTTTTTTTTTCTCTTTCTCTTTTCTTTTTCTTTCTTTCGGCGTTTTTTCTCCTTGGCTAGCTCCTCATCGTCATAGTCGTCCTCATTCTGATCGTCTTCCTCATCCTCCGGTAGATCTTCCGCGGAGAATCCGGACGAAGAGCTACTCGAATCGTAGTTTTTTTTCTTCCTGTGCTTATTTTTGAGTTTCTTTTTTTTGGTATACTTCTTCAATTTATGTGCCTTTTTCCGTTCCTCCTCATCCTTGATGGTGGTGTCGACTGACAGGAGGGATGACCCGGAGCGGCTGCTACTGGAGCTGTCATCGTTACTCGAATTATCAAAATGGTACTTACCATTCTTTTTGAGCTTATTCGATATCTTCATATGCTTATTGTAATTTTTTCTCTTCTTTCTTAATTTCTTCATTTTCTTTCGTAGCTCCTTTGTGTAGTTCTCACCGTGCCTTTTGCCATTCATGCAGCTATTATCCAATGAGGATTCGCTTTTGCTCCCTCCTGCCATGTTCCCGTTCGTCTTTTCCCTCTTCTCATCTGTCTTTTCTTCCGCGCCCTGTTTTGCGTTTACGGCCTCGCTCTTCTGATCATTCGCCCCGTTCACGTGGCTGGGAGCGACAAATTCGCTCGCGTTGGGGTTTATGCCGGTGGTCCTCATCGCCGCGGTGAAAATATTCTCTCCGTTCGCGCTTCCAAGATCAGTTCCGATGCCGCTCCCCATGACGCTCCCAAAACCAGTTCCGGGGCCACTCCCCATGGCGCTTCCAAGACCAGTTCCGAGGCCGCTCCCCATCGCGCTTCCTAACCCGCCTCCTATACCTCCCCCTATACCACTTCCTGGACCGCTTCCCACCCCTGCCGCATTCGTCGCCGCAGCATTCGCAGCCGCAGTGGCAGCCGCCGTCGCCGCACCATAAATAAAATTCGGATTGATGTTCACCTGACTCATTATGTCATTTAGCAGGGAGCATATGTTTGTCTGGCCCATCAGATCTCCATCCATATTGTCATTCCTTGTTAATCTCATGTGCGTGAAGTACAGAGGTGTGGAGGAGGATCCCACATTAGGGTTGGCACTAGCATTGGGCAGATTAGAAGCGGTGCCTCCATTGGGCATGTTCCCATTGTTGCCGTTCATGTGGACATTCGAGCTGAAGTTTATATGCAGGGGGTCCCCTATTACGCTGCCGTCGTTGCTCCTAAATATGTTTGCATTTCCGTCGATGTTCGTGGGGTGGCTGTTCCCATTCATAGCATCTCCGCTGTTTGCAGTGTTCCCATTTTCGTCACCTTGATTGGCAATGTTTTCCTTTTTCCTCACCACCAGATGAATGATATGATCATTTTGTATGTTATAATCTGCAACACTCTTCTCGTTGGCTAAGCACTGCCCTTGGTATATCAATCGAATGTCCTGCTTGTCCACGCTTTTCCTTTCCGCAATGATGTTCTTTATTTCCTCCGTGCTGGTGTCTCCTGTTACTTCCAGCTCGAATTCCTCGTTGTCGATGGTTTTGATTTTTATCTTTAAGTTGCCGTCTTCCTCCATCTTGCCGCGTCACGCACGTGAAAATATACGTGTGTATACAGCTTTGTATACAGTTCTGTGTGTATATATGTATGTCTGTACGCGCCGCGCTCGTCCTCTTCAGTTCGGGGCGGATGCGGACGCAGTTTGAGAAGAAAGAAAAGAAAAAAAAAGAGAGGGAGTCGTGGCGAGGCGTGTGGATCAATCCTGCCGCTGCGCGTCACAGCTGATGCCCCCCAAGCGGCTTGACCAACCAAGATGATATGTAGGTATTATTTTGCGTTACCACGTGGGTGCACGGCGAAAAGGGGAAAAGAAGTTTTCGGCTCAGGGGGTCAGTCGCAGTTCTCTTGTGCGCATGAAAGGGAGAGTATCCTCGTTGGAAGTCCTGTGTATGTGATACTCAAAAAAGGACCTTTCGGTAATCACGATTAGGCATGCACAGTTATGTTCGTAAGGTTTGCCCGGATTGGTAAGTTGCCCAGATTGGTATGCCGACCATGTGCGTATATTTATGTTCATGAATTTTTTCGCGTGGCACGTGAGTACCCTGTTGTGCGAGGTGAGCCCTGCATGGCTCTGCAAAGGAAGGACTGTTTGAATAAGCAATAATGTTATTCGTGCGAATGGAAGGAATCCTTGAGAATTTTTTTTTTTTAGTACCTTTTATTTTAAGTACCCCTTATTTCATATTACCTTCTATTTTACTTACCTTTTATTTAGCCTCCCCTTTTTTTTCTGTATTTTCTTTCGCTTCTATTGTTTTTTTTTTCCTTTTCAGTTATTTCTTCCTCTCTGCTTTGCGCACGACGGCATTGTCATTCCCATGGCACTGCGCCGATGGGGCTGGCGGGAGAGAAAACGTCCTAACGGAGCACATGGGAGGAACGCGTCGCTCTTTTGTTTTAGCCTTATCGTGCAGTGTCCCTCGTGTATGCATGTTTTTATATTTTGCATTTCATTTTATATATATATTTCTTTTCCCCCGCTGCAACAGAGTAGTGGTCGCGAGGTGGGAGGTCAGAAGTAGTTTTGTTAACCCCATAGGAAGAGCATCCCATTTGGTCGTTTAGCGCATGTTCGCACGTATTAAGTCAGCGCGACCATTCTCTGTCATTTCAGGCGTTAATCAGTTCGGGGCAAAAATCACGCCGCTTAAGTAACCGCAGAACGGTTTGGCGGATTATCCAAATGATTTTCCCAAGATAAGCAGCAGAACGTGCGCAGTGAGAAGTATCTTTTTTTTTTTCTTCTTTTTTACATTTGCAAAAACAATACACTGTGAATTTATCGCAAGGGGTGTATTGACTGCTTCGCCTGGCAGTCCCAACGCTTAGGCTATTGCAAACGCCTCTTTGTGCAAAGTGACATTTCTAAACAACAGCTTGCAGTATGATGGAGGGGTGAAAAAAAAGAAAAAAAAGGGAACATTTCTATACGTAAACGGTTTTAGTGAACTACGTACCTTTTGATATGGCGAGGAAATCCGTAACGATAGTGAGCAGCTCTTTCGTACGTTCACGAAGTTTGCTGTTTTTTTTTTTTTTCTTTATTCATAACATTATTTCGGGTTTGCTCCCCTACGGGGGGGCCATTTTTAACCGCATTCGTGTATAAGATCTTACGGTTCAACAAAAAAGATACGTGTTCGGGACAGTGATGTGTTATCTCGAGAAAGGAGCAAAATCGTTTAATAAAAAATTTGCCACGTAGGAAGTGTGCAGAAGGGACCCACTTCATTAATTCAAATGGACCTTCTCGGGCGTGTCCCCCTTACGCATGGGGGGAAGAAAAAAAAAATAAAAATAATAAAAAAATAAATCCACTTGTTTGTATGCACTGGAAAAGGAGTACATCCCCGGTGGGAATGAAACCGCGTAGACAAAATAAACAACAGGAGGGGGGGAAGGGGTGCCGAAAAGACTTAACCCTTCGCAGCCCCCTACGCCGCGTACACCGCGTACGACGCATACTGCGTAGCGTGGTACCGAGCTCTATTGCACCTTCGTGAGGAAGGAATTCATCATTTGGACCTGGAAGGAGCGACCCACCTTGCCCCGCAGATAGTCCACATAGGACGTGTTAAAAGCATACGACACCTTGTAAGAGTGAAGGAGGCCACTTTCGTCTCCAATCAGGATGACTTCATTAAATTTATTTACGCAGAGTTTTCGGAGCTTCTTCTTTCTCGTTATCACTTCTGTGATGATGGCTTTGTTTATGTCGACGCTTAGGTCGTAAATGTGGAGGTGGCCGTGGTTCTCCGAGCTGATGACGAGGAAGCACGTCGACACTATGGTGCTCCAGCGGACGTCGTAGACGCACTGTAGGGGGGATTAGGGGGTGGTGAGAGAGGGTAAGCGGTGTACTTGGCCGCGCATGGTGGCACGATCGCAACTATATAATCGCAATCGCAACTATATAATCGCGATCACCGCTGTCGTCGTTTCCCTGCGCACCTCCTTGATGTCCAGCACGAGGAGGGACCGCGGACGCGCCTGGTCCCATATGCGGATGGTCCAGTCGTAGGACGCCGAAATGAAGATGCCGCGCCTGAACGGATTGTAGGAAACTGCGTTCACCGACATGCAGTGCTCATTGTAGAGCCGCAGGTGGTTGTCGGAGAAGGCACTGGAGTAGAGGTATATCTTCCCCGTCGCTGTTCCAATGAGAAAGAGGTTCTTCTGGAAGGGATTGAAATCGATGCACGTGATGGATTGCGTCTGTACAAAGTTGAGGGGATCCTTAAAATCGTCCTCCCAATCCTTTTTCAGTGTAAGCAATTTGTCTCCTACAGTAAATTTGTTGTTATACTTCCAACAGAACATGTTCCCATCATACGAAATGGAATAAAAGGATTTATCTTTCTTGTCAAAGGAAATCTGTGAGATGATGTCTCTGTTATATATTTGTTTTATATTACTCTCAAATATCAGTCGTTCATTTTTTTTTTTCTTCAGATCATAAATGCATATGTTTCCATTGGACAGTCCAATGATAATGACTGAGTGGTTGATTGCTGACCATTCGATGGAGTAAATGGGAAAATCGGTTTTCAAAACATGTTCTGGAATTTTCGTGTTCTTGAACGTAAAGCAACATAATATCCCTGTATTGATTTTTATATCATTATTTTTAAATGATATGGCAAATAAATCTTCATAAAAAGGATGAAATTTGATGTCCGTGACGACTAATTGATTGAAGAGGGGTACTGAGAAAATCCACAATTTGGTCAAAATGTTTTTATTAATTCCGTTTTTGTAACTTAAATAAATTTCCTCTTCATTATTTTTGTTGTATATTCTATCCATCAATTTTAATGTTTTCAAAAAACGCTTTTTGTGCAAAATTTTTTCATCACTTTTTTTTACTTTCCCGTCTTTATAAATGAAGTTTAACTCTTTATGTGTCTTCTCCTTCATGTCTTTGTAGTTAATAAAATATAGTTCATGTTTCCCACTGAAGGATTGTTTTTTTTTTTTTTTTTCTCGTTCCACCTTTTGTGGGACCATCTCGTGTGTTGTTCTTTTCACCGGTTTTTCCTCTCCCTTTGGGTATCCCTTTGGTAGAAGTCTTTCCCTTTTCGAGGGGCTGGTCCACCTTCTCGGCTCCTCCCATTGTGATTCTCTGTGCGCTCTCCTTCACGTCCTCATTCGCTTCTGCTCCGTCATTGGCGTCTTTGTCGTGACCCTTCTTGGGTAGTTCTCCCGCCTCTTCCTCCTCACCGTCCATTTCTTCAGCCTCAGCCGCGACGGCAACCTCGACATCATCGTCGCAATCAGCGTCGTCGTCCACATCAACATCCGCGTTTCCCTCATTCTGTTCACCCAAATTTTCGTAACCCCCATGGTCGTGTTCCCCCGCCTCCACATCGTAATCTCCGGTATCTTCCCCTGCAGAGTTGTTCCAACTAACTCTGTCTGCACTAGCAGTCTCGTCTTCACTGACCGCATCGGACTCTTCATTACTGGAACTACCTGATGAAAACAGAACCGTCGCAAATTTCGCATCATCGGAGAGATTGCCTGAACCCACATCAGATCCTCCGTCCAATCCGAGGTCTCCATTTGAGTCGTATTTCTTCCCCCCTTCGTCTTCATTCTTTGCATTCTCGTTGTATCTGTCTTTTTCCTGTTCGCGAGGGGGAGAAATGCCAATTTGAATTCGCCTCGTCGAAGCGGTGGTGACTATCTCCAAATCGGATTATCTCTCGCGTTCATGTTCGTCATACCTTGTCTTCCTCGCTGGAGACCTTCTGAAACTCCCGCAGGTACGCGTCGTAGATTATGGACTGGCAAACTGGGGTAGGAAGTTAGCGGCGGTTCAGAAATTGTTCGAGGCAGTACCCAGATTGAGTCCCCACAAAGGGGGGCGAGACTTTACGAGCACGCATGCATAGACAGAAGTGGACTCATAAACAGAGATACACGTGTGTGATGGTGTGGGGGCGACAGCACACACTGTGTAGTTCACCCCCGTGCGCAACGAACCCGTGTCGCAGATCTCGTTTATTTCCTGCGGCTCTGTCTTGGTCGCTTCGTCCCTAGGGGGAAATGAGTGCGGGGGAATGTTTGGCTACTTAGCGATGGGCCTCTTAGAGATGGGTCTCTTATGGATGAGCCTCTTATCGATGGACCTTCCGATCATTCGTCGCAGCTGCCACTAATCGCGCGATGGAAAGGAAGCCTACTTGAAGGAGACAGGGACCGTCTGCGCATATCTGTCGATGTAATCGAAGCAGTTTTTCGGCTTATGGTAAACGTAGTCTGAGGGGGGGCAATTTTGCAACATGGATGGGTTTGTTTCGATGTGGGGCGGTAGCTGACGGCGGCACAAACACAGGTTAGCAGGATGAACAAACAGACGGGAAGCCTCACCATTGTCTTTCAAAACCGTGAAGGAATTAGCCTTTTCTATTTTCTTCTTCACCATCTCTATTTGCTTCTTGCCCTCGTCGCTGTCCCGCATCACCAGGCATCTGGGTTGGCGCAAAAAAGGAAAAAAAAAGGAAAAAAAAAAGAAAAAAAAAAGAAAAAAATAGAAAAAAAAATACAATTTTGTCAATCCATCCATTAGGATGTGCACTCAGGATGAGTTCCCCCCCTAAAGCGGTTATTCATCTGTTTACTCATTTGTCTGCTCATTTGTCTGATTTATTAATTTTCTTTCCTGACGATTTCATGTCCAGGTGGAAGACGGTGTGGTCCACTTGCTCCACGGGCGTAAATTCCTCATTCGAAAAAGAAAACTCAACCAGGTTGGAAAATGCTCTTGGATTTTTTGGGAACAGAAATCGAGTGAGGGTTTCGTTTTTCTGAAATTGGGGGATGCAACAAAATAAGGCGTGTGGTTAACAGGACGCTCGGAGTGGTCAAGCATGTGTTGTTGCGGCTACACCGCCTTCTGCTTCTCCACAGGTACACACGTGTTGGTGCATGCACACATTTACGTATAGTAAAAACATACACCATTTTGAATGGATGTTTTCCTCTTTTCATTTTCCAGCCCATCGCCCTCTTCCCCCTTGGCCTCCCCCACTACTGCCTGCAACTTTTTCTTCTTTTTTTTCTCCACTATGTTTGCCTTCATTTTGCTTTCGTATGGAGAAGGCTGAGCTGGGTCTGCTGTTTATAGGGACGCGGAACACGCTCTCTACAAATGGGTCACTTTAAGGGAAGACCTATCAATCACTTTTTACATTATTCGTCGCGCAGACTGCAGTTTAATTTTTTTTTTTTTTTATATTTCCCCTTTTTATGAGCGGTGTGGAGATTTTCTTCCTTGTGATGTGCACAGAAGGAATGGCCTTTCTCTCTCTGACCCCTGTCGATAGAAGCACGTGGTTCCTTCTTTTCCAGCGCGCTGCGTCATAAGTACTGCTATTCTTAGCAGAGTCGCTGCGCTTAAATGAGTTTGGCTTCTCCCCTAAGGGGTATTTCTCCTTCTTGGGGAAAGGAAAAAAAAAAAAAAAAGAACATTGTCTTTTTTTGCGCACTTTTGGCAAATTGGCCTCATCGTAGAACTCCGTTTCCCTTTTAATGAATACGAAGTATCACATAGTTTGGGGCTGGAGTCGGGAAAAATTGCAGCGATGTGCACGTCGGTAGGAACACACGCCAGGGGGTGCACATCCATGCAGATGTACAGTGGCATAAGAAATGGGGAGTCTTACAAGAAGGCACAAACTCAGGTGGGTAAACTGCGCAGGGCATATGCTACAACCTTTCAGAAAAATGCAAAAGGAAAAAGTAGCTTAAAAAGAAAAAAAAACATATCAAAGATAAACTCTTAACGTGAGAGAAAACTACGGGAAGGAGCATCTAACGTTAGGGCACACACAAAGGTTCAATTAAGGGGCACACTATTACACATACCCGTATGGATGACCCTCGTGTGTGTGTCTGTGGGGGGGTTACTCCCTCCTCCATTGAACAGGGCAGTATCCACTTCGTTCTCCCCTGTTCGCCTCCCTACGCTCAACGTCAGATGCATACAGAGCGGTACTTACACATGCAGAGACGTACACACAAACGTGCGTATATGCGTGGACGTAGGAGTGTTACGGGTGGTGGCCTTCCCTCCCTCTTCGAGGAAAACCAAAACAGGTGAGAAAAAAGATAGCCACTAATTACAAAGAATCATGGTGTCGTCAAATTTTTTCTTATTTTTATACTTCTCCATGACCTTGTCCGAATTCCTCATAATCCGTTCATACTCCTTTTTCATGTCCACAATGTCAAAAATATTGAAGTGGATTTTTTCTACTTCCTCTATTGGAGGGAAATCATTTTCTTCCTCTTCTTGCTTTTTTTTTTCTGCTTTCTCTTTCTTATTTTTTTTTTGTGCTTGGTTTTTTTTTTTCTCCTTCTCCGTTTTGGTCGATTTTTTTGCTTGCAGAAGGTCCGGGAATAGTTCCACCTTTTCGTTTTTCACTTCTTTTACAGCTTTGGCCATGGCGGCTTCCTTCTGTTTCAGCACCGAGGGCACGAATTTTTTTTTGGGGGGTTCAATTTTGGGGTCCTTCTTGGGTGTCTCCTTCTTTGGTGTTTCCTTCTTGGGAGTGTCCTTTGATGTGTCCTTCTTGGCCTCTTCTTTCTTGGCTTCATCCTTTGTGTCTTCGTCCTTAGTCGCTTCGTTCTTTATGGCTTCCTCCTTCGTGGCTTCGTCCTTATTCGCCTCTTCCTTCTTGTCTTCGTCTTTATTCGGCTCCTCCTTCTTTAGCTCCTCCTTCTTCGGCTCTTCCTTCTTCTTCTCTGCCTTCTTCTTCTCCGGCTTCTTCTTCGGCTCCTTGGCAGGCTTCTTCCCGCTGGTGTTGGCCGCACTCCATGCATTCACATTTTTCCTTTCGTCCAAGAACTTCTTCGTTTTATATTCTTGCATGTTTATTGTCTTTATCTTGACGGCCTCGCTGCTTCTCCCTTCCGCGTTATTTTCTCCATTTTCATTGTCCGGTGTGGCAGTGCTTGCAGGTTTGGCGACTTTCGTCGCCTTCAATAGGCTACTCAGGTTAAACATTTTGATTAGTTCGTGGGCGTGATGAGCGGGTTGCGAAAGGTGCAATGGGTGTGGCAGAACGGGATATTTTTGTACGAGGCACTCTGCACAAGTGGACGCGGTAACCTACTGATGCTCAGAACTTGTTACGTCGGCTTTTAAACGTGTGAGTGACGTTTACCACTTGTGCTTCACGTTAAACTGTCAGCGAGGGGATATTTACTTTCCTCTTTTTTTTCCAACCTTTTCAGCCTCCTCCTTTTTTTCCTTCCCTATTTATGGGAACTTTTTTTTTTATTCCTGCCTTAGTGGTATTGCTCTTATTTTAAGCCGACCCTTCGAAGCGGATTTCTTTCGCATTCTCCGCCACGAACTGGTACCCGCGGCAACAATTGGCACGTGGGAAAAAAGTTTCTACGTGTGGGGATGCACAGAGAAGGGGGGAACAACTTTATACACGCGTAATGTACATGCATGCGTTCTACTTCTCCCCTAGGGAAAAAGGCGAAAGAGAAACTCCCAATTTGGCATGCCACAAGTTGGGTCTCCTTTTTTAGCTAATCATAATTGGAACAAAAAAAAAGAGGGAAAAGAACGTTGGGATAAAAAATTTGCCAAATTTTCTCGCCACCTTGAGTTCAATTCTGTTGTGCCTTTCCTTTTTTTTTTTTTTTTCTTTTTTCTTTTTTCTCGGCTAGTTCCATACCTGGGGCCTCAATTCCGTTGGTGAATTTCTTTTCGACATTATTTTAATTTAAGGAAGTCTGACCACGTTGGAAAGGCAAATAAGTGAAGAGCGTTTTTATGCGCATTGTATAACTCTGCGTACGGATCATTTATGGCCAAAAGTTGGGTTGGCCCATGATATCCCTGGGTTAGCAAAACGAAACTGGTGTTGTTCCGTTAGAAAAATTGCATAACATTGTACTGATCAGTAGCAAGCTTTACCTATGACAGTTTTTAAGCGGATAGTAAGCTACAACGAGGCAACAGCGCGGCATCTTCCTTTCTGAGTATCACTTTCAGTTCGCCTCTGTCCTGGCACATGGACGAGTGGTTGCCACTTCCCCTTGATAGTGTTGTTCCCCTTCTTGTGACCTCTAACATAATGAGCGAAGATAAGTAACGCGGCAACCTCAGTTCCCCTGTAATAGATTCCTCATCGGCACAAAAATCAGCAAAAACGAAAAACACGCGAATGAAGCCCTGCCGTCCGGCACCACATAAAAGTTTCCCCCTTTTGCGAAATAAGTGAGTTGGAGAAGAACGCAAAGTAGATGTGAACATTTGGGATACCAATATACGTACGACGCGACAGCGCTGTCATCGTACCGTTACATGGTGAAGACATGTCAATTTTTGCCACACTTGGAAGTCATACGTACGTACAAGAGAATTTGTGGACCCCCACCCCCGCACGTAGACACATACCCATTTGTGCCTACCGATCTATGCTTACCCATTTATGCCTACTGATCTATGCTTACCCATTTATTCTTACCCATTTTTGAGTACCCCCTTCCGTCTCCCTTTCCCTCAAAATGAACAAAAAGGAGAGAAAAAAGCTGCGGTACATGACCAAGGAGAAGCAGTACTCCATCGAAGAAATTGAAAAAATTGATGTAAAACGATACAACGAATTGTCTCGATTTTCCAAAAACAAAAATAAAAGAAATGCTCTCAAGGGAAAGGCATATGTGAAGAAATTAATTCTTCGTAAACAAAAGAAAGATGAAATAAAAAAAAAAAAATCTTTAAATATTCCTGTGGAGAAAAAAATCCCCAGGAGTATAGAACGGCTAGCCATTTTTGATGAAAATAAAATTAACGCGGAAAATGAAAGATTTTTATTGAATGAAAAATGTATAGATGAATTTAGTGATTATTTTAAACAGGGAAAAGAACCGAACATTGTTATAACGTCCATCAAAAGACCATCCAAAAACACCATTCTGTTTATGAAAGAATTGTCTTTAACATTTCCTCACATTTTTTATGAACCAAGATTGGATCATTCAATTGAATTTCTCATGACCAATTCTGTGCAGAATAACTTTTCCACATTTATCTTAATCGAAGAGGGAATAGATAAACACCCTAAGTATATGTTCATATCAACTTTGCCAAACGGCCCCACGGCGAAATATTCCCTCACCAATGTTTTATATGCACACAAAAAGAAGACGGACATTGAAATAACGACATTACCACCGGAGGTCTACATCACCAACTTTAACACTTTCATTGGGGAACGGATAAAGCGGCAGCTCCACACTTTGGTGCCTTTCAAGCCGGCGTACAAATCGCAGAAGGTCGTCGTTTTTTACAATCAGCGCGACTTTATCTTTTTCCGCCACTTTAAGTAAGACTTCGTGGCGACGCTGGGCCGGGGTGGCGCCACTTCACTAAGTTTGTCAACGTTTGTCAAAGTTTATCCAACTTTGTCAGCGTTTTTCCTTTCTTCCCCGTTTCCCTTGTTTGTTCACCCTCCACGTTATTTTTCTTTCCCCCCTTTGCACTTCAACACGCACCCGCAGGTACAACTTCCTCAACAAGAAGAAGTGCAAACTGAACGAAATTGGCCCGGCTTTCACCTTGCAGTTGCTTAGTCTTAAAGTAATCTTTAGCGTGCCGCGCGCGTCTGTTTCCTCGTGTGTAGCCACGTCGTTGCAAAGTTGTGGCCTCCTTATTTTGCTTTATTTTTCTGAACCGTTCATGTAGCTAGTTTGTTATCTTCTTTTTCTCAACCGTTCATAGTTTTCCCGTTCATGCAGCTATTTTGCCGCTTCTTTGTTGCTTCTTTTTTTTGGCCCACATTCTGCACACACTCTCGCGCGTTGCACTTCTTTCCCCCATTGCGGCTTTTTGCGCTTCACATTCTTTTGACCTACATATTACACGTATCTTCACACCTGCATCATTTTTTTCCCTTCAACTCTCTCGGATGACCTTAACAGGATGGGCTGATTAACGATAAGGAGAAAATGTACGAGTTTGTGCTGCGCCCAGATATGAAGGTTAACAGGAAGAAGATGTACTTGTAAATGCGTCGCTTGCCTTTCTGGTTACGTCCCACACCAGTGTGTTTGCCTCAATTCAATCCAGTCGCATTGCTCTGCTGATCGTTTGGCTGTAGTGCCTTTCCCTGCAGTGCGATACTCACCTTTTTGCACTTTTCTTTTTTTTCTTTTTTTTTACTGTTCAATTACTGTCGTTTTAAATGCATACCTTTTTTTTTTTTTTTTTTCTTGGAGCTTCCAATTTTATAAATCCATGTGACTCTCCCCACGTGCTGCATTCTTTTTACAAAAAATGCGCACGCAAGTGGGTACGCATATTATACGTATGTAATGTACATGGTACCCACGTAGTGGAACACATTTGGTTGAAAAAACGTAAATTGCAAAAAATGTTTGGAAAAATCTTCCAAAGGGAGGGGGCTACGCAGAAGCAGCAGAATCAGTAGCGCCAGCAGCAATAACCCCAGCAGCAGTAGCGGCAGCGGCCATAATGTAAAGAGGATTACCTTAAGTTAGGGGGGGGGCGGAGAAAAAAAAGAAAAAAAAATTAATAAATGGATTTGAGGAAACACCTCTCTTCCCTTTTCCTCCTAGTGTACCTAAAATGTTTCATATGCCACCTTTGCTTTAGTCCCGGGGTGGAAAAGACCAACGGGAGCTGCTACATACATAGAGCGTTTAAGAAGAGGCAGTACATGCAAACGTTTAATAAAACCTTTGGGAAGGGAAAAGATACAAAATTTCAATTAAGTATGATTTTTAGAAAGCTAAAAGATCAGTCCATGATAAGGAGCATTCCTAGCCATGTACGAAAGAGAAAGAAGAAGAAAAAAAAAAAGAAAAAAAAAGCAGACGGTGATGACGATGCTGATGGAAAGGGCCAAAAGGGGAGGAAAAAAAAAGTTAACAAAAAGTTAATGAGAAGGAGGCTGCTCAAGTTTTACAAGTTGAAGAGGAAAAACGAGGGTACTGAGGAGGATGTTTTTTCCGACAAGCCCAAGTACTCTGTGTTCGACTACGTTGAGGATAAGATGAGCGGTGGTAGCGGTGGAAGAGGTGACATCGATATTAGCGGTGTTAACCGTGTTAGCCGTGCCAGCCATGGGGGTCACGGCGACCAGGACCACCTCCCCTCCGCTGCACCCCCCGAGGGGCCCCAAAAAGAAGAACATGAAGGGGAAGGCAAACTGCACACCTACATGGATGATATTCAAGGGGAGGACTCACCCGAAGGGGCTGATCTCACTCACGGGCAAGATGGGCAGGATGGGCAAGATGGAAAAGATGGAAAAGATTTTCAAGATGGACAAGATTTGCAAGATGGGCAACATGCCCAACACGGCGAAGAAGCAGATGCCACCTCCACGGGAAAAAAAAAAAAAAAAAAATTAAAAAAGCTAAAAAAGAACATGCACATAGGGAAATACAACCGGAAAATTTTTACCTACAAAAAAAAAGTTTCCGTAGATGACGTGCACGAATATGTCCAGAACAAACATCTGGGGGAAAAATACATCCTTCAGAAAGACACCCTAAAAAATGTTTTCGTGAATAAGCCTCTATTCAATTTTTACAATTTTTACAACTTCTTTCAAATTGACCACGTCGAAAAGTACAATAAAGAAAAAGTACTAAACTTAATTTACTATTATATTTATAAATACAAAAACAAAATGGAGAACCAAACAGAATATGACTGTGTGAAGACACAGGATATTCTACACACTTACGACAGCATTGCAGATGAGAAGAAGAAAATGAAACACTATCTAGACTTCTACATCGATATGAATAACAACAGATACCTCTATATGAACATCGACAAGAATTACGCCTTGAAGAAGAAGCACACGGATGCCTTCACCGTTAGCAACATTAACAAGGTGGACTCGATGCACATACACAATTACAAGGTGGTGTGGACCATTCGAAATGTGCAGGAGGTAGGCAAGGAGAAGCGGCAAGGAGAGGCGAAGTCACGCTTCATTATGCCGATCGGGCTTGTTCCCCAAATGGTCGAACAGATTGACCGGCTGTGCGGGTCTCTTCTCGTCTTTGCCGCCACACAGATGCCGTTATGCTAAGTTACGTACACAAATGGCTCTTTAACGTACCCCCCCTCTACCGCTTTTTCCTTTTTTAGAAACTATTTTGGAGATTCCGCGAAATGGGGAACATCCCCCTAACGACCTCCGCCTTTTCCTTCGCGGGCAAGAAGTCGTTCAAATTGAAGCTTTGGCTAGATGGTCACAAATCCGCCAAGAAGGGGTAACTCTCTCTCGGGGGCGTCTCCTGCGTTCCGCTCCGCAAACCTAATCACCGTTTTGTTCCATTACTATTCTGTTTCGAGCGTTTGTCCTCCTTATGTGATCGCATGCTGTGTGTAGCACTGTCCGCGCCTGCTGTTTCATCGGCATCTGGCATAACCCTTATGACACTTTGCCGACACCTGAGTATACATACATAGATATGGACATACACACTACATACCTACAGCTTACATTTCTTCTCCCCTTTCTTTTTTCTTTCCTTTTTTACCCATTTCAGCTACGTAAGCGTCGGCCTGAAGCAACTGGAAAACTACGCGCTGCTGGAGGAGTACATTTGTCTCTCACTTGGCGGAGTCACCAGGGGTCCATTCCAATACATGTCGAGAGAATACTACCAAGGCTGCTACAACTTCTGTAAGTTTGACGATCTGGACGTAAAAAACGATGAGTTACAGTTAAGTCTATTTGTGTACGATGGCGTTGTGTAGAAGTGGGTTGGGACAAGGCATCATTGGCTAGGACAAACGTTACGCGGAATTCGCGTGCCACGGATCGGCTCTCCTCAGTCCGACACCTTTATCAATAGCCCCTCCTTTTGCACGACCAACCTTGGCAGCTACGACCGCGTGTCGGTTTGTAATTCTCTTTTACCCTTGCGCGACAGCGGTTTGGTAGATGCGCTTCCTTCCCCAATTGTTCTAATCACCAGTTGGCTTTCCTCCCATTTTTGTTTGCATTTCTTTTTTTTTTTTTTGTTAACACGGAAGGTTATGCACCCCTGTGCGTACTTCTTCCCCATCCAACATTTAGCATGCCCTGTGTAACATGCACATATCTTAATAGTCAACGTTTTAATTTTCCCCATGATGTTGCTCTTCCCTTTTTGCCTAAACGGGTGAGCTAAGTCAGTCATTCAGTCAGTCAGCCGGTCATCCAGTCAGTCGGTCAGCCGGTCAGCCGGTCAGTCTATTACTTTTTTCCTTTTCTTGGGCTTCTTCTCCTCGAAGAGATCTGAGCTGCTGGACGAGGTTTCCACGTATTGCGGATCACCGTCGGAGTTGCTTCCCTTCCCAGGGTTGTTCTCCTTCGCCGGCTCCTTTTTCTGCTTCTTCTCCTCCTGTTCCTTTTCATCGTCCTTCTCGATTTGCTCCTCTTCTGGATGATCCAACCGTGGATGCACTTCTCCCTCCTCTTCCTGCGCGGCGTCCTTTTCTTCTCCCCCCAGGGTGAGCATTCCCGTCTCCCGCTGGGTCATGTGGTACGTCAGTTCGCTAACATCCCTGAGCAGTTCCTCATGGAGACTTTCCTGACTCTTTAGTTTTTTCATTTCCATATTTTTCTTCTTCTTTTTTTCCTCGTAAATTTTTCTCTGTAAATTTATCTTTTTCTGGTTATACATTTTTTTCTGTCTGACCATACTAGGCACGCTGCTTTCAATGTATGGCTTTATTTTCTCCTCGAACTTTCTGTACGTGCTGATTAGGTACTTCCTGCTAGCTAGATGCTCGATGTCTTTCCTCCTTACTTCGATGATGAGATCGCCTTCTTTGTAGTAGTTGTGTCGTTCATCTGGAAAGCGGCGGAGCAAAAAATGGGGTGGTCAATTGGGGGGAGAACATATGGGCATGCAGAAGGGCCGAATCGGCTAGACGGGCAATCGGCTAAATCGGCAATCAGCTTAAGCACCAATCGGCTAAAGGGCCACTCCGCTGAACCGCTCAATTTGGCCGGTCTTACCCGAAGCGAGGAGCTCCGCCGAGGTGGCGAGGCGCTTGAAGCGCAGCAGGGTGTGGATGGCGCAGAAGGAGAAAGCAATCAAATCCCCCATGAGGAGAATATCGGTCAACTCGACGTAATCGGAACTAAGATATTTCGAAACGAATGAATCGATGCAAATGATCAGGGTATTCAAAATGGACAAGTCGTGAGGCCACTTCACATACGCGCTGTACAGCAGAACAATGGCATCTTCAAACTTCTCAATTAGATGTAGAAAATTCGCATAGCAGAGAAGAAACGGCTTGTCGTTAATACCATTCTTTAAGCTTAAATTAAAAAACAGATTTAATTTTTTTAAAAATAACTTATTATTCATCACATGGTTTGTTCTCATCAGGTGGTTAAACATGTGGAGGACAAAATTTCGTAACGCTGATTTGTAGTAAAAAGTCAGTTTCTCATTTGAGTCAATTAGGAACTGGAACGCTTCACTGGACAGATCAACCTTGTGATTAACGCTCAGCAGTATCGATATTAAGCTCGACACGAAGAAGTTGTTCCTGCTTCTTCCTAACAGACTTATGTGAGAGTAAATTTCGTTTACTAGCTGATTTTTCTCTTCTTTATTTTTTCCCCTTTTAAGGTTAAAAAATTTGATGATGGCCAAATAGGTGTTAATCAAGACATCATCTTGTAGGTCTTCACTTTTTTTTAGCTTCTCCAATGTGTATATACAATAATCGTAGTTCTTCCTCTCCACATGTAGGTAAACCTTCTGTAGCAGGAGGTTTACTGACTTTGGATTTGTCTGCAATCCCTTTTCTATGACTTCCTTTGCCTTGGAAAATTTCTTCATCTTTATGTATACATTTGCTAACCTAACGAAGGCCCCTTCATACGTCTTATACAGCTTTGTATACAATTTGTACGTCTGCATGGGGGGGTCCTTATAACCTAGGTATTCTGCCAGCACTGCGCTGTTAAAGGAAATGGTGATGTAGATCCTCTTCAGGTAGTTAATTATTTCCCTGTACCTTTTCCTGTTGCTTCTTTTTATGTATACATGATGGGGAAGCTTCGCTCCGTGACTCACCATGGCTAGCTTGGCCTCTCTGATTCGATGGTGGCGGAGCATGGCGTGCATGTGGCACAGCTTTAGTTTGTTTCGGCGCAGGGTTAGGCGGAGGAGGTCTCCTCTCTTTTGTTTGGCCTCCCACGTACTGGCCTCTTCGCGGGGTGCCGTTTCTGTAATGACCTCTTCACAGGGCGCAATTTCTGTAGTGACTTCTTCACAGGGGGACCCGATTCCACCCCGCTTAGACTTCTTCTTCGTGCACCCCGGAGAGGCCGCGCTGCGCTTCCGAGCGATGTTCCCTGTACTGGAGAGTGCCCCTGCCATGGAACGGCCAAACTTATGTTCTTCCCTCCCCCGCGACAGTCGCGGATCGGGAGGCTTACCGCAAAACGCATAGGAGTAGTAACTGGAGAAGCGCTTCACCTTGAGGAACACCTCCCTCTTTAGCAGCTCCATTAACTCCACACTGCGTTCCTTCTGGTCGCAAAAAAAAAGAGAGATGACATAATTGTTTATCAACTCGTAGGATATTTTGCGAGGCTTATTTCTTTGTCTGAAAAAGGTTCTAACAGGTTCCATTTCGCTTAGCTCCTTGTTGTAGGCCACCATCTCGTCTTGGTTATACTTCGTTAGGAGCAGTTCACGTATCTTCACTCTCATCAGTTTGATGTCCAAATCGATATGAAACATATAATGGTGCGCTTCCAGAACGTCCATCAGGTGTTGCAGCATTTTTAGGACAATTTTCTTGCAGCTGTCATTTGGGGTGCTCTTCATATATTTGCTTCGAACAGAGACATGTGCTGCATTGTCGTTGCCCTGTTTCGTTTCCTCCCCTCGAGTGGTACTCTGAGTGGTACTCCGAATGCTATGAGAGACTGCCTCACCCCCCACTGTCGGCCCCCCATGGGGAAGTGCCTCACTGCTGCCCTCACACAGGAGGTTAAAATTTAAAAATAAATTCGCCGTGTGGAGAAAAAAGAAAACATACAATTTAACGAAGTAGGCATTTTTACATTTTTGAAAAAAAAACAAAATGTTCTTCTTAGCTTTAGTATACCTCCTCAGGTAAAGCAAACAGATGGTATGATAGTACCTGCTGACGTGGTTGCCATAGATCTGCAGACTTTTGTGGTAGTACTTGAGTGCCCTCCTGATGTTTCGCACAATGTGATGGTAATACATGCCAATGAGGAAGTAGTACTTTGAGAGGCACTTCTTATCGACATAATTAAAGTGTATCTTATCCTTCATCAGTTTTAGAAGCGAAACCGATTTTGTATTTCCCTGCATCAGCCATATTTCGCACAAATCCAGGTACAGATAAATCATCCTCTCGGAGAGATGCACATGCTCGTGATTCTTCTTCAGGTACACACCTTCACTGTTCGTCATCTCGATCGCTTCGTCGTACTCGTATATGTCGTTCTTATCGATGTGATAAGAATAAGAAGATGAGCTTTCTCTCATCAGAAAGGTTTCCACCCCTTTGGAATACTTCACTATACCGCCTCTCAAATAATCGTAATAACGTAGCAGCGTCAGGTTAATGACGTCCCTAATGGGGATTTTTCGAAGATCATTTTTATCCCACCCATCGGGGAGAGACTCCAAATGGGGGGACTCCTCCTCTTTGATATGTACCAAGCCTCCACTTCTAACCTCCCAATGGATCCCTTCTCTCACAAAATCGTTGCAGTCAGCAATTTTTCCCAAATAGTTCATCAGGAGTAGCCACCCGTTAGTTAAGTACGCCTGGGGCTGGCCATCCATTTTGATCGCTTCAGTTAGGCAGAAGGAGGCCGTACTCCACTCCTTCTTCTTCACATAGCAGATGCCAATTATGTATTTTATTATTCCCTTGAGTCTTCTCAGGGTGGTTAGTAAATTGTTTAATCGAATGCACTTATAGAGGTGCTCTTCCCTCGCCGTATGCTCCCTTCCACCAAACGGGCTATCCTTATCTCCACGCTTATCAGTACTTTCATTCGGCCCTTTTGCAGAACTGATAAATTTGGACAACCAGGTGGTGGCTCCCTTCTCCATGCTGGGAGATTCCTTCCCCACAGGATTTAACACCCCCCGATAGGTAGAAACAATATCGTTTAGAAAATTCTGCAAATTTAGAACCCTTATCAGGACGTGGGAGGAAAACTCAATGCAGAGATCCAACTTGTACGTCAGACATAACGAGAGGGACAAATAAATCGAGGCGACAAAATCGTACTTGTTCTTTTTTACCAAATCGGTTAGTATAGATATACTCTCCATCAAATAATTCAACGGATTAATGTATTCATTTTTTATCTTCTCCTCTGATGCGTCCTTCTTCTCATCATCCTCGTCTTCGCCATCGAGGGGGGAAGTCCTGGGCTGCTGGAAGTAGTTGGCGCCGCTCTTCCGGTCATACTTGTTCAGCAGATACAGGTACATATTGACGTTGTAGATGGCTTTAGGTAGGTGTGGGGACAAGTAGTCGTAGGTCTCCCACGGAATGGACCGCTGCGGTTTATTTGACCCATCGATTGATACCCCGATTGACACCCCGCCTGGTATACCATTGGGCATATCGACTTCCACCCCCTTGAGGAGAACGTCACTCCTCCTCCGCTCAATCTGATTGATTAAATTCTCCAGTTTTATTTTCAACTCATCCTCCTTGCTCACATTCTTGACATTCATTATTTTTTCCAAGTGATACAACAGAAGGAGGGTGTAAAAATTGGATCCGTCTTTCGAGGTGTCCCTCTCGTCTGGTTCCTTCTCCACCCCCCTCCCAGCATCCTTCGTCAGATAAAAAATTTCCCCCTCTTTGGTTAGGTCCAAAAAAAGCTTGTAGTGATTTTTCTTGTAGTAGACCAGACTGACTTCTATCCAGCTATGTACATGCACGTGTTCATCCTTGAGAATGTTTTTTATGAGGAGGTAATTCTCATCGTTTATGTCCTCTTCCTTAATGCCGATCGGTCGATTCTTTCCTTGTAGGTAAATCATTTTGGGGGGCGACCGCGGAGGGGCAGCAAAGGGGAAGAAGCAAAGGGGGGGTTCACTATGCAGCCATTAAGAGGGGGGAGTGCGGACTTGCAAGAATGGAGCGGTTAAACAGGGACGTAACGGACTCGTATGGCTAAGTAAACCATTGGACTCCCCTACTCCGTGTACACGTGGCACGAACACAAAAGTGAGTAAACACCCCTCACGTGCGCAATGCGGATTCTCCACCCTGCAGCCGCGTCGCCTTTTTATGGCCTCTGCCCAGTGGCGACGCAAGGGGAAACAAGAGTTATCCACGTATTGACGAGCAGCGCAGGCGAAGGTGGTGGCCTCCCCTGCTCTGGCTTCTGACACTTCCGCTGGTGCTAGGCCCCTAGCGCGATCGCCCCTTTGTCATTGCGATCTATATATGCCCCTTGTAAAAGCTGCACAACTGGAAAAACCTAAGGGAGCGAACGCAACAGGATGTCATTGTTTAGGCCATTTATCATGGCCCTTTAGAGTATAGAGCCAGAGGGCAGTTAAAGCACTGGAGAGGAAATCACCCCGGGGCATCACTCCAGGGGAATCACTCGATGGAAAATCTTCACGGGAAAATAATCGGAGAGTGATCCATTTTAATTTCTTCCACCTGTTAGCCCTTCCTTTCCTACCCTATACTCCTCTTTGTGAAGAAAAATCCTTCAAGGAGGAGCTATACGTTGTCGTGTATGGCCCGGGTGCCTTGAACGCGCCGCATCAGAAGCTGAACGGAGGGAGATGGCAGCCAGGAAAAGGAAACGCACCAGGGAAAGGAAAAAAAAAAAAAGGCGCAAAAAGGGGAAAAGGCATGAGCGGAAGAAAGGAGCTCCACGAAAGGTTAGCAATGATCGGTGAAAACGAAAAGGGCGATACAGAAATGGAGCCACAAGATGGAGGCGCAAAATGGAAAAATTTCCGCAGGCTAATATGAAAAAGCAGCCCCCAAACTAAACACCCTTATCATTCATGGCATCCCCTTCTTTTGGCCCAAAGGAGCTTAAAAAATGCCTCCCTACAATTCGTTGCAGAACTCTTTGCGTTATGGAAAAGTTGACACATTTGAAGCCATCCACATATGCGCAACTAATTCTCGCCGTCTTCTCCCCTCTATAATTGCTCATATAGAAAATGAAGAAATCGACGGCGTAACACAGACGACAAGGGTGACATCTGTTAGCTTTGTGCGAGGGGAAAAGCAGCTTGGTTGGAAATGAGCACACCCCGTGTGGGGAAATAAAACAAAGAAAAAAAAAAAAAAAGCATCTCGATGCATGGACCAATGGACCCGCACAATTGGATACATATACATATATGTATGCAATCCCCACGCAGACATCTACAAATATAATCAAACGGGGCGGGATGTAACCCTGCAAAGATCCCTAGGAAGCAAATTCCCAATCTAAGCGGGGGGAGACTCACCGCTGTACCTGTGATGCATGATATTTGTTGATGCAACGGATGTGCTGAATAGGACGGGAAAAGATAGGTTTCTCGTTTTTCCATAATCCCTCGCAATCCCCCCCGGTGCAACACCTTGCCTAATTGTAAAACTTTCGGAACTTCATTTTCACCAAATCAGAGTAGAAGCTCTCCTTTTGGTCCCTACTCCACACATGTAGGTTCAGATCTTTTTTGATTTCCCGAAGGAGGCTCTTTCTTTTCGTGTCGCTGGATTTTTTCGAAAGATTATTATCCCCATTTGCCGCTAAATCTCCTTCGCGTGGACAGCCTGAAAAAGAGCTTACCCTTTCTAACAGCTGTAAATACTTCACGTACAGATTTGCAGCATCGTAGAAATCGATGTAAATAGCTTTCTTAGTGACGAAGTCGGGAAATAGACGAGCGTTTAGAATGTAATCCTTACGTTCAAAGAATATATATGCGAGGTTTTTTTTTTTTTTTCTTTTTTCCTGTCCCACTTCTCCTCCCGCAGTCCCCCCCTCGTATCTCCTTATTACCATTTCAAGAAAGCTCTGCAAGAGGCTCATACGATGATTTAAAAAACTGACATATGCCGTTTGGTAAAATTTATAAAAAGAGTGATGGTTAACCCATTGCACATTATTGTTAATGTCTTGAACTATCTCATTGAATTCTTCGAAGGCACTTAAGTTTGCATTTCTCTTCCGTATGGTCACTACGTTGTATTCACTGGGGTGGCGACTCCTCCAGAAATACGTCCCATACAAGCAGCTTCTACATGCAAAGTGGTTTTTACTTCTGTCCGAGTGAAGCCTGCTCATTTGTGTATTGCTCCAAAGGCGCTGCCTCGTTATGCTCTTAAAGCAGTGTGCATGTTGCCGCCTTACCTTTCTCACCTTTGCATTTTCGAGTATGTCCATGAAGAGGGTATTTTCTAAAAATAATCCCAACGTGTGTGTGTAATCATATTCCTCTTTGGCTAGCACATGGTCGGAAAAAATAATGTTACTTACCCCTTGCTTAATTTTGTTGTATATATGTCCCTTCACATTCTCATCGTTGTTCCTGCGATCGACCAAATAGACGTTGTCCAGAATGTTCCTCTTTTCGCAGTCAGACAGACATCTCAGTTTTGGCAACAATATATACACAAAGTAGTGAAAGTAAAAATAGCTGATTTGACTGGTGGCAAAATGGATGACTAGGTTTTTTTTCTTCTTCTTCTTCCTACTGTCGCTTAGTGTTCTCTTCTTCACGTAATGCGATTTTTCCCAGTTGCTAAAAAAAGGGTCTCCCCTGAGGGATCTCTTCTTAAAGAAGTTTTCCTTATTTCGCAAGCTTAGGAGCACGTACGCGAATACGCGGCTGAAGTGGTGACTGCCTTTCAGGTGTTCCTTGTAAATGGTTATCATATTCTTTCGAAGGAGAGGGGGGAGCCGCCTTAACTGTTTAATGCTTCACCTATTTCAACTGCTTCTTTTTGCTGCTTCCCCGTCAGTTGGTAGTTCAAAGCATACTAACTTGAACCGTCGCTGCTCTGCTCTGCTTGTGGGGGCACGCACATTCCTTCTCCGCTTCTCCCAAATGGTTGCAGTTCCCCATTTTTCAGATTTTTCCTTCGGCTAAAGTGGGCCTCCTATTTGTCAGCCGTCCCCCGTTCAGTTAAAGATGCGGCAACGTCGAACGGACGCGGGCAGCACTACTTCACACCAGAGAAGATGCATCAAATAATGATAACGAAAATGATAACCGCTAAACTGCTAAGTTGCAAAAATGTACACCTATGTATGTTCGTTTAAACCAAAAATGGGAAAAGCTAGTTGGAAAAAAAAAAAAAAAATATGAACAGGTAAGGTAAATCCTACATAAAAAAAAAATATACATATTTATAGGTGCGAAAAAACCAATTTAGGAAAAAAAAATATGAACAGATCATAAAACAAAAATTTGAAGCATCTTATACTATCACAACTTTTGACATAATCCCACATAAAGATGAATGTATCCCACTTCTTCCAATGGCAGGTTGATACCATAGTTTATTATTACAAAATTTAGCCTTCACAGCTTCTGGTGCTTCTTTTCCAAGCAGACACACTTTGCGTGAACAGAAATGAGGCGCAACACCTTGTCAAGCAGCTTCATCCTTTTGCTGTCCCTTTTTTTGTGTGCAAAGAATGCAGGGAGCTTGAAATACCCCCAAGCCGCTCTCCTATTTGTGCACAACAACTCTAACCTTTTCCAAAATGACCCCCTCAGCGTGTTGCGAAACAAGACGAATATACAGAATAAGAAGAAAATTCCGCGCCTTAAAATACAGTCATCCGAGGAGCAGCATACGGATGGGGGGCTGCACTACGATTTAACCCCTGAAAACGTGGAAAAGGTTTTAAATTTAATTCGACCCAAATTGCGAATAGATAACGGCGATGTCGAATTGGTAGACATCAAAAACAACGATCTCTATATTAAGTTGTTGGGGAACTGCGTCACCTGCAGCTCGAACAGCGTCACAGTGTCGCAAGTTATCAAGAAGACACTAAAAATGTACATACGGAATGAGAAAGGTGAAGAGCCAAACGTGATCATCACAAATTTTGACGAAATAAATGAGGAAAATATATACGGCTGCTTGAGTGATCTGAAGCCCTACTTTGATTTTCTGAGTAAGTGGCGCTGAGTAAGTGGCACATGGGAGGAGGGATGTCCCCTTGGTGTTATGCTTCGCGGGATGGATAGCTTTCCAAAGGAGGAGGAGATCTTCAGAGGAGGCGCTTCGCATTCCATTAGTTCAAATCCCTCACCCCTCAAAAGAGCAAAGCAGAGCGCAGTTTAACCGTGAAGTGCGCATAGTCCGCGTAGTGGACGCAGAGAGCACTCCCCAAATGAACATCTCCTCCTTCCCCCTGCAGAGCTGAAGGTAGTAATCAAGGACCTCATGAAGAACAAGGAAAATATCAACAACTCCGTCTCGTTGGTTTTTAAGAAGGTTGATCCGGGGGGAGAAGACGGAGAAGCAGGTGGAGAAGTCGGCCGAGATGCAGACCCCTACGCGGAGCCAGTCAAAATACCCTTCACCGTGAAGAGCGAAATAACGGAACGGCTGAAGCAGAAGTTTCCCACGCTCGTGGTCAACTTTGAGAATTAAATCGGCACCATCTGTTCTTGGGTCGCACAGCGTGCGGAGGGGAGTGCAGCTGCTGTCTAGGCGTTGTAGCTCACGTCAAGTTGGGTCGATTCTAATTTTTTTTAAGTATCGTTTGGGAAGCAGTAGGGGGGC